TCATTTTTGTTCTGTTTTGTAAAAAAAATTTGTTGAAATACTTTGTTCCCAGAATCATACGTATTTCGCCGCGTTAAATATTGAATATCTATTTTCCGAGTAGTCTCGTGTTTAGCTTTGAGGATTGTGTGGTTATGGTCCAATATCAATACAGTTGTACCAAGCATATAATATTGAGCAATGACATAAATAATAGTATGATTAACTTAGCGATAACATGATATAGAGAATAGCTTATGCAAAAAATATCACGGATTTGAAGTGTTTGTCAGCACTAGAGCTTGAAGTCTCTTCTTACACAAGGATCTCGACCTAATTTAGGAGCGAAGGATGCAAATATATTTTCGAGTAGCAGTCCACGAAAAGTGGTACACACGACGTAGATGAACTTTTTTGCCGCAAGAGATGCTTAACACGGAGCACAAAAGCGTGATCTAGTATGCACGCTTGATTGAGTGCCCACACCTAGCCTTTGGTTCCTTTTCGGAAAATTCCATCATGAAATACGATAGGCTCCTGTGTGGGATGTCTTAGCAAGGTTAATTTCACAAACTCTTCTCATTATAACAGCCCAAATCGGACAAAGCTGTTCAAATCTCATACTTTTACACAATTTTCTGGGTGCAGCCACGTGAAAATTATTCACAATACTTTGGTCCTTAAAACAACCTCCTAAAACGTTGGGGTATTGTTCATACATAGTCTCTTTTGCGTTGGTAATGAGATTTGTATGAGGCTAGGAAGCTGAAATAGTTAACTTATATGTGAAGATCATCAACTTGGATGATGTATCGACTGATTAAGAGCCTACTCAAGCTAGACGGTAATGGTGTAACAAACTTTGAAGCCACACCTCACAGTCAGCACCTAACATGGATTACCCTTTCATCATATCAAGGTACTATGGCGGCTTTGTAGGCTAACTGTGACAAAAATGTCTTTCAAGAAAACCTTGCACTGGTAACATTGAAGCGCATTTTTGGCCAGTTTGACGGAAGAACTTTCCACATAATCTTCAACGGTTTTATTCGTCCTCATTCAGAGCACGGAAACATAGTATTTCCTCCCTCACTCTAAAAGGATAAAGACACTTTTGAGCATATCCAATAACGAGCCACGAAATCAGTTCAGGGACTCGAATTCAAGCCTTATAAAGAGAGCATCCAATCACTTAACCTTTACCCATTAGAGTGTAGGCATCTTAGACGTGACCTTCTGTTGGCTTACTGCATCGTTAACACTTCTGGATATCCCCCTAAACACCTACTAAAACTTAGTCCTAATACAAATCAAAGGAGTAACACCCTGAAATTGGAGATACAACATAGCAGAACAAATTTCTACCTCTTAATAGTTGTCAAATGCTAGAATTCGCTGCCGACTTAGCTAGTCCAAGCGACTTCCCAGAAGTTCTTTAAGAGAAAACCTGACCTATTCTTAAGAACTAAGGGTAATATCTTACCATGATTTACCAATTTCTTTTTTCCTCCATTATCTTTAATATACCTAGGTTCCTGCCTGGAGACACTAGTGATCCATGCTACTAGACACAGAAGCCTGTTAAGCGAAAAGTTATTCTCTTCCGTCCACAACCGTTTGAACCATTTTGATATTTTCGCTCGGGTCTAAAGGTCAGGTCATGCTGTTGCTCAATTTTCCATCAGAATTTGAAAGCTACTCATCTGTCGCTAATTTTCTATCTGAGGGAATTTATTTAGCTTTGTTGATCAGCCGAAGAATCAGCAGACATTTAAAGCAACGTGGTCTGGACAGTCACCACAATAGTGGCTTGTAATACCTCTTTATGCAGCCGGTGTGAGTCCGATGCCCTTGTTGTGACACCAATTGCTGCAGTTGTTGCGTTTCATGTGTTGTTTGCGCCATTAAATTGGTTAGATCAGCCCACTTAAGCGCGGAAATAACAAAGTAAATGCTACGGGTTCTCGCGCACATGTTACATTTTGAGGCTATTGATGTCGTTATTTAGCAGCTGTTAACAGCACTTTTACCGTCACACGTCGATTTTTGTAATTTTTTGGCTGTTACATAGCTTTCATTTCAGTTTATTAGTAGTTTGACACACAACAAACCCACAACGATTGAAATACGGAATGACCGCCTCTTGTCAAGCGGTTCAAGGTCGTTGGAACGAAGCGGCGGGCGGCTTTGAACGGGTCTTACTCTTTACCGTGCCCAAGAAAACTGTTCCCTGTCACGTGGTAGACGCTGTACACAAACGGCTGAAACGCCTGTTACTTTAACTGAAAGTACGGCACAAACAAGTCTAAAAGAAGTATTAATCTAAGATACAATCAAAACTAAAAGATTTAAACGACGAGGAAAAATACCGCTCCCCTCTTAAAACAGCGCTTTCAGTTTAAAACGCAATAACTCTAGGACTAGATTCATCTATCTGATTCTAGTTTGTATTATGATCTGGCCTTGTGTTATAATTGACTGTTGTCTATTGCTTGCCTCAATAAATGTAAATGCATTGTGTGCTTCTACTGGGTCATCGACTTATCCTCACCCTTGTTCTATTTTCTAGTACTCCACTCATGCTACACTGCATGTTCCCTTGGTACTCAAGATACTTGGCTAGACGCGACCTACCGCATTCTTGGTGGGCATGTAAGGGCCCATACTGGTTAGAAATCTATGACGTAGTGCAGACTTACTACGAGCCCTAGTTAAAGTACTCTTCAGTCTTCAGTAATAAGGATAGGAGGTCTATCGACCTGTATTAATCCTTGCAGTTTGTAATACTGTGGAGGTCCAATCTCGTCTTGAATATATCAACAGAAGGTGCTGATATTACGTGTTCCGGTAGAGAATTCCAATAATTCACTACTCGATGAGAGAAACGAAACTCCAGACGTAAACGATTTGATCTCGGTTTTTGAATTTTTTTTGAGTGTCCTCTCAAACGATCAGTCCTAGACGGAAGTAAAAGATAAGACATGTTAATACCAAGGTCATCGTTCAGTATACGATAAGCCAATATTAGATCACCCCGAATTTGACGGTAAGATAAAGGAAATAGGTTGAGGTGTCTCAATCTGTCTTCATAAGATAGTCCAGATAGACCTTGTACCATCTTAGTACCTCGTCGTTGGACTCGCTCTAGCATATCTGCTTCGTACTTGAAACAAGGACTTGCTGCTTGAATTCCATATTCTAAATGTGGTCTCACATAAATCGGGTATAGTAGTCTAAACATTTCGTCATCTAAATACTGAAAAGACCTACGAATAGACCATAATATTCTATAGCCTTTTGCAGCAGCAGCCTTACAGTGACTAGTGGTTTTGAGATCACTACTTAATATGACTCCCAAATCTTTGTAGTTTCTTACTTTGGGTAGTACGAATCCACGTATTTTATAGTGATACGATTCATCATTGTCATTTAATTGCATCACCACGCTCTTATTTGGATTAACTTCAAGTGACCACCTATCTAACCATGCCACCAATGAGCTAAGATCATTCTGTAATACTATTCTATCTGACATACTGTGTATGGGTCTCCAAATTTTTATGTCATCAGCGAATAGTAGAATGGATGATTTTGCTACAGTTGGTAATTCATTTACATAAAGTAAAAAGAGAAGAGGACCGAGGATGGTACCTTGGGGAACTCCACTTTTCACAGGCACCCACGAGGAAAGAGTCCCATTTACCCTTACCCTTTGTCTCCTGTCATGGAGAAAGTTACTTATCCAATCTACGACTGTATAATGGATTCCGAAGAGTTCCAGTTTTAGTCTAAGACCAGAGTGAGAGACCTTATCGAAAGCCTTACTAAGGTCTATGAAGATCACATCTACAGGAATACTCTGATCTTTTGCAGCAGCCCAATCTTCTCTTGCGATGAGAAGATTTGTCAAGCACGATAGGCCTCTCCGAAAACCATGTTGTTCTCTGGAGAAAAGATTATGCCTTTCAACATAGTTTATAACAGATATCCGAATGATTTTTTCCATCAGTTTTACAACTGCACTCGTTAAGCTAACGGGTCTATAGTTACTAACTGCAAACACTTAAACAGTGTTTTGTCGAAAGTGCTAGTTATATGGCGGATTAAACTATCTGAAAATTCTACACCTATATTTTTACTTGAATTTATATTACTTCCTAAAAATAGCAAAATCTTTGATTTCCGGTTTTTTTGTAGGTACAGATTTTTCGAGCTGGAACTATATGTTATAAAAGGACTAAACAGACTTGAGACGCTGCATATAGACTCAAGACCTGGTTTGAGTTCCTTACCTTGATTCAAAACTCGAATTTCTAAACATGTACCTTTCCCCTTTAATGTTAAAAATAACTCATGAAAAGGTTGGTTACTCATTATGAAAAGACTTATCTCTACCACTTGAAAATCGCGAATTGTTTCAAACACATACGGCTGGGTCGTCGCTTGTCAAAAAGTAAATTAAAGACAAAAACTAAGATTAGAAACATATGTTTGTCGATCCAAACAAATTTTAAGAAGAAAACCAGCATGTATTTGCCATTTTAAGCTCTAACTTTTCAGTCTAGAAACTGAGTTCCGGGCTGAAAGGCCACTGGTTCTCAATCTGCGTATCCAATTTACCTTAATCAACCAGGTAGCATCTCTATAAAGATACAGATAGAAACGTCACTCAAATAGTAATTAAAAACTAAAGAAACCTGTTCTTTTCCAACAAGTAAAAGTAAAGTAAATTAGAGTAGCCATATTTTCTTTATAGGTTCTTATTTTAAAATGGCTAATATAGTAATTTGAGATCTATGATCGATATTTGCTGTAAGTGTCCGGATAGCACAGTTAACTCGGATGAAATATCACTCACATGCGCGTATGTAGACTTTTGATTGTATACTTTGAAATATTATTGTCTTTCATTCATCTTAAACCAGGGTAGAGTGTTGCATTTCTTTGTAATTAATATTATTGGCAACTAACCTGTGAAATCCAATGACCTGATTAATATTGTCTTTCAGGTTTGTAAAATAATGCGAAATGAGATCAGGTTTGCTCTTAATTTCATTCATAACTGTAAAAAAGCAACAGGAAAAAGATTGTGGGTAATGTGGAAATATTCGTCGGAACATATAAATCTTATTATAGCACCACTATTTTTGTCAGCGTAATTTTGCCAGTGTTCTTGGTATAGAAACGAGCTGTGACGATACAGGTGCAGCTGTTATAGAAACACCAGGAAAACTACTTGGAGATTGTCTATCTTCTCAAGCGAGGATTAGTGTTATGTAACGAAAAGAATCATTCATCAGTAAATATTTTTGAAGGTTAGGTGGTGTACTACCGTCCGTAGCAGCTGAACTTCACAAAGAAAACATTGAATCAGTTGTAAATACTGCTATCGCCAAATCTAACATTGGGTTTCGGGTATTTTTCGTTCATGGTTATTTTTTTAATTGATCTATCTTTTCTTCTAGGATTTAAATTTTGTTGCTGTTACAGTAAAACCAGGTATGCCACTATCTCTAAAGATTGGAGTTAGTTTCGCTAAATCTTTAGCAAGTCAATTAAAGTAGTTTTAATTTCTATGTTGACGAATTATTTATTTGCCAAAGGATTCCTATCATACCGATTGATCATATGGAGGCTCATGCACTGACAGCTCTGTTTACAGATCCCCAGTAAGCAAAACTTTTCTGTGTAAATGAATCATAGTTTATGTACGGAAATAACGTATTTAGCATTTCCAGTTGCGCTTGTGTAAAACCACAAATCCTAGAAGTTAATTATTACTTATTGTTAAGTGTAATAAGTACAGTCTGAGCATAAGTTGCTCAGCGATGTGTAATTTCTATTCAATCTCTGTGAATTACTAAACAATATATCTAAATAAATGCTTCGACATGATATTTAGAAGTATCGTTGGTCTTAAATTTATGATGCAACAAAACCTTTATTTACCTCCTCGTGGGTGATAACATTTAGAAAGATACTGTAAAACTGCCATCTCTGATGTTCACTCAAATTACCAGTCAGTTTTATTTCTTACTTGAAACTAAGCATATCATGAGCTTTTTGATTGAGATCATGAACTGATTGATGCTAGACCACCATTGAAAACCTGGAAGCACTGGACAGCCGTTTCGTCTTGCTGTGGGACTCCTCGGCAGTGCGCGGGCGGGATCGTGGATGCACGCTGCTGAGAAGTGCCATAACAAGACGAAACGGCTATCCAGTGCTTCCAGGTTTTCAGTGGTGGTCTAGCATCAATCAATTCATGATCTCACTCAAAAACTTAATAATCTCCACAACCTCATACTGATAACATATCATGAGCATCAAGAGATTTGTGACAAACGCATTACAGATTAAAATCTCATGATTTCGAAGCTAGTAGAATTTCGATTTGTGCTTGATTTACATGTTTTGACCCCTGATATTGCAAGTACTAATAAAATTTTGTAACTGCTATCACTTCTCGCTGAAGTATTTGGTTTTATTATTTATTTAAAACATAAATACTGGTACAAAGGGGCGCCGAATACATATGCACCACACAAGTCACTTGATTCGTGTGAGGGTTGGGATGATGCCCGGGCGTCCAAATCGAAGCAGGTGATTTTCTTAAGGGGCACTCCCTGAACCTTTGACTTAGAGGTTTAATCCACAAGGCAACGAAGCAATGTCAGGAGATACAGTCCCATTGTAGCTGGTGACCAGCAATAGGTTTATACGCCTTTCGTTTACTCAGAATCGTGGAGCCTATGTGCACCATTGCTTGCGAATCAATGTTTCTCAACTCCCTTACACGGATGTTCCGTACCCGCCAACCCAGTTAAAGAGTCGGAAACTCACTCTATCTTCTCAGTCTCGTCAACAATACCCTCGTCTCCATAAGGCTGTGACTGTATACACGTCATATTTGCTTAGTGTTTCAGTAGTTTGGTTGCTCCTGGAGCTCAAGCTTTCCACATTGACTTATGTGTGGCTTTACAATGTTGCAAACTCGGCGCTTTTTCTGTAGATATTCGTAGATATATTACTTATTAACTTGTTTATTGGATTAAACAGTATTCAGCAAAGCATTTATTATTATGATTATCAAGGCTGTTAGGACTTGCTATCTTTCATTCTCAAGCAAAATATTTTGTAGAACAATGGAATAATACATTTAAAAAGGTTTTCTAATAACTGATTTGGAGTAAATAGTGTTTATCTCATTGTTTCATCACGTTTATAAATTCCTTTAAAAAATCGTTTTAGGTTAAAATTTCCCTATATAATCCTCTTAATAAGTGGTGGTCACAGTATTTTGGGCATTGTTCAAGGATTAGAGGATTACGTTTTATTAGGTACAGGATTAGATGCCTCTCCAGGTGATGTTCTTGATAAGGTGAGTTAAATGTTTGTGTGGTTTTAAGTTTACATTTTAACTTATATATTTTATCGATTGCAAATTTATATTTTCAAAAAATGATTAACTTAATTTAATTTTTGATACTGCCTAAATCAAGGAGTTCAGGTTACCACTGACAAGCTAACAAACTGAAAACCTATATATATATGGTAGTAAATGAGTTGAGTAGGTTGTAAACCTTCATCGACTGGGATGATTGGGCCACGTGTTACTCATACTGATTAGTGTTGGAGACGACTGGAAGAAAGTTAGGGTGGCTAAACCTAAATGTAGCGTCAGTCCTTGAAGCCACGTTGGTCGATGCAGACTACTTGGTTGGGGTACGCGCGACTGTCGTAACCAATGGTTGGAGACTCGGGGCGATATGGCTCAGAATTGATCACAATGGTGTCGGTGTATACACTTTCTGTCTTCCCTTAAACTATGAGATAAAAATTGCTTTATATCTTTCTTTCTGCCAACCAATTCTTTCTTCCTGTATTATATGTTACCATGATCTAACTTTTTCTATGAATTCGGTGTTCATCTTTTTGTACTAATGAAGTGTGACAACTTGGACCGATGCATATATGTGCCTGGTCCTACGTTGTAGCTGACTGACTGAGTTTCTCGAAAAGCATTTTTGGATGAGTTAGATGTTCACTTTTGTCTTTGCTGACTACGAGTCAGTCATCTATTTAAGTGTATTACTCGATCAATAGAACTCTGGAAACTTTGTCCAGGATTTTTGAGTTTCGAAGACATGCGGACAAATTTGTATAGCCCGAATAGAGCAGTAATAGCGGTTTTCGAAATGTCGTCTGGGTAGATTGGAATGTAATGGTACGCATGAACGAGATCAACCTTTGAGGAAATCGTTAAATCGCATAGACTATGAGAGTAATGTAAGCTTGGAGGAGGGTATCTATCTGGTATCGTCCAGCTGTTAAGAACTCTATAGTCGCCGCAAGATCTAACATCGGAAAAGTTCTTCTTAGTTATCAGATGGGGCGGTGATGTCCACGGACTACCGGAAGAACTTATGAAACCCAACTCTATCATCATGTTGAATTCGTTTTTTGCGAGAGCGAGACGAGAGCGGTCAAGGAAGTGCAAACACTAGTAGTCCCTCTGTCTTAATGTGGTGTACGATGGTATGTGTCGGTTTGTCACGTTTGGAAGTCGCTTGTAACAAATCATGAAACTGATTAAGCAAATTGGTATATTCATCATTCTCGAAATGAGGTTTGATTAGTAAGTGTATTGACGTATCGTGATATAAGTTTTCTAATTTCATCGTTATGATTTGTAGATACAACTTTCCGGTTTCCAACATCTGCGAGTATTTTTCGGGATTGTAAAATATCGACACCGATTATGGGAACTAAGACGTCAGCTATGTTCCATAGGAAATTTAATTTGGGACCAAAATGTAACCGTAGCTGCCTGTTACTGTATGTCTTGATTTCCGTTCTGTTTGCAACTTGCGGTTCTAGTTTGGGGTCAGGTGTGTTTTCCCCAAGTGTAGCATATGGTACTACATCAAACTCTGTCCCAGTGTTGAATGATAACTGTGTTCCGGTTCTTTTATCTGCGGCGTGTAACAAACGACTTTCTTGGGAGTTGGGGTGATATCAGCAATCGTCGCTTTTAACTTCTCCCTACCGTGTGTCCACAACGTTACAAGTAGGGGTACGTTCCTTCGCTTGATTTCCATAATTTCTGTGACACCAAAATATGCTGTTAGCTGCTCCTTGGACTACGGGACGCACGGCTTCTGGGTCTCCGTCTACACCTGCAGCGAGGCGCATTTCAATTATGCAACTGAACCATCTGACTGACGAGGACTGGCTGTTTGTCTCAACTCTGTGATCTCGTTAGTTGAGTTTGTGTGTATGTGTGATACGGAGCGGATCTTAGTCTGATCGCGTATTTTATCGGTTATATCTGCTAGTCTATCGAAATCGACGTCTTCGTCTCCAATCGCTAATATTTGTTGAATATTCTGAGGAAGACGTTGAAGTCATAACTGATATAACAGGCATTTATCCAAAAGACGATTACGCAATATACTTGTTGTGTGGCGTCTTAAGTATGACGGTTTACTATCACCTTGTCTTAAACTATCGTTTGGTGCTTCTGGATCTAGTTTTGAAATGGTGTCACTCACCTGTTTGACGTTCACTTTAACCACAGAAGCAAGGCTTTACATTGTCTTACGGTTTACTCACTAATAATTACCTAGCAACATTACCCTTCTTTATTTACTTAAGCATATAAATAGTGGTACAATAAGGCACTAAAATGTGCTACACAAATGAAATGATAATATTGTAAACAAAGAAAGGAGAGAAAGGTAGTTCAGTCAGTAAATAAATGCAGGAAAGTGATATTCGGCATAAGACTACAGTTCAGTTAGAAATAAAGCCTTGGAAACTCATCTCCTGACCGTTGTTGCTACCTTGACGTGGTGGTCGGGATTGCCTATCGTGATGAAGCAACTGAGCTATACTGGCTGGAACAACCGTTCCTCAAGGTCCTACCATGCCACACAGGTCGGTTGAAGAGCGGTAAGACTAAAAGCAACAAAACCAAGGTCCGAAGGCGAAGTCGTACTGCTGACTGTACAGAGGTGTGACAGCAGTAAGGTGTTTCCTTCAGACAACCAGCATGACAGCGATGCTGCCTTCCCAAAAGGAGGATGGGGTTAGAAAATGTCGACCCTAAAAATGCACACCTCGCCTTATCCCATGGATATCCGTCTCCGGCGGTAAGGTCTCAACAAGTACGGAGCTAACACAAAAATTACTCATAATAAGGTCGTGTGTGACCGACCTCAAGCAGCTGTCCCTTGGGCACTGCGGTCACGCTCTCAGATCACTGTGACCACCTCTAATCCAATTTCCTTTTCAGGTACCTCCAGCAGGACCCTTCCACGGTGTCGGCGACCGGGAAGTGATAACCGCCCTCATACCCCTAACAGCACTCAAGACCACTGTATTCATAATCAACCTACCTGTTCAATTCCTATTATTCCTCTTACATCGACTTTCAAATCTAAACTCCCTCTTTCGGCTTCCTCCTCAAGTGCCACCACAGCCAACGATTCTAGTGCTTAAAACACTGTCCCAGGTCTACTGAAACCTCGCTCCAAACTACACATTGGAGCCTTGAACGTACGCACACCATGCCAAATCGGTCAGCAGGCTTCCTTGGCTAAAACCTTAGAATCTCGTACGATTGATGTATGCTGTGTCTCCGAAACACACATACAGGATCCTAGTGTGGTCATTCACTTGACCTCACCTCGGCAAAACGGAGTGCCGACGAGATACACCCTCCGTGTATCTGGCGACCCGATGGCTAGTTCTCGTGGACTTGCAGGTGTAGGCATAGCACTAAGCATGAGGGCGTAACAAGCGCTATTAGAGTGGATCCCCGTAAACAGTCATCTATGCGCTGTTCGGCTAAACGGCTCGGTAAGAACTGGGAAGGATAAGGACACACGTCGTTGCCTTTTCGTCGTTTCTGCCTACGCTCCCACTGACTGTGGTTCGGATGAAGTGAAAGATGAATTTTACAGAAAACTCTCTGAACTTCTTCAGAAAGCTAAACGTTCAGACATAGTACTCGTAGCAGGCGACTTTAAAGCCCAGGTAGGTAGCTTAAACGAAACAGAAAGACATTTATGTAGGTATTTTAGTATTCCGGCACAGAGAACAGATAATGGTGATCGTCTGCTGCAACTTTGCTCAGACAATCGTTTATTTTTAGCAAACACAAATTTTAAGCATAAGGAGAGACATCGTGTAACATGGCGACCCCCTGCACCAAACCAACGATGAACTCAAATAGACCATATTGCCATCAGTCATCGTTGGAGAGGGTCGATAGAAGATTGTCGCTCATTCTGGAGTACCTGCTTGGACTCCGACCATGCCCTAGTACGAGCACGCATCTGCTTGCGCCTCACTGGACGCAAAAAAGCCACACAAAAAAGACTCATTAGAACCGAATTGAGTAATGAGAAAACTAAATTAGGTTCCAGGAACAACTGAGGTCACACTTAGGTAGTTCTGAAAACGAAGCTGACCCCGATGTTGCTTGGAAAGTTATACAAGCAGCTGTGGAAACAGCAGTGACATCTACTAGTGATTTAAACCACAGGGTTACAAAGAACCAATGGATTTCTTCAAGGTCTATTGCACTGATGGATTCTCGCAAACTCATCCCATCAGGTTCTGAACACGATGAAGAGCGTAAAGAAATCAGATCTAGGTTAAGAAAAAGTCTAGGGAATGATCGTGAGCAGTGGTGGGCAACGAAAGCAAAAGAGATGGAAAAGGCGGCGGCTATAGGGAACACAAGACATCTCTACAGACTAATAAAAGAAACTGGAATTAATAAGTCAAGTGTAAGTCAGACTATTTCGGAAAAAGACTACACTCTCATCTGCTCCCAGTCTAGACGTTTAGAACGATGGGCGGAACATTTTAAGGAGCATTTCAGTTGGCCTTCAGCTACTCTACAACTACCCTCTATTCCCAGTCAGTATGAATGGAACATTGAAGTAGGTCCCCCAACTCTATGGTTAATCTGAAACGAGGAAGGGCAGCTGGTCCAGACGGATTGGCCCCAGAGGTGTTTAAGGATGGTGGTCTAGTTTTTGCGATTAGGTTGACTAATATTTTAGCTAAAATCTGGGAGTTAGACGTTATCCCATCTAACTGATCACAATCACTTATCGTCCCAATATATAAGAAAGGATCAAAATCATCCTGTGACAACCATAGAGGGACTAGTTTGACTAATATAACATCTAAAATACTAGCATCAATAATTATCAGACGCCTAACTAAGACTCGTGAACTGCAAACACGAGAGAATCAAGCTGGCTTCAGACCTGGTCGTGGATGCATCGACCACATATTCACCGTCAGGTTCTAGAACACAAGCATACTTATCGGCGTCCGACAATGGTGGTCTTCCTTGACTTAAAAGCAGCGTTTGACTCTGTAGACCGAGAGGTTTTGTGGCAGTGTCTGTCATTGAAAGGCGTACCTCAGAAGTACGTAAACCTTGTGAAGGCTCTTTACTCGAACACTACTAGTCGAGTGAGAGCTTATGGCGAACTGTCATCTGCTTTTGCAACCTCAAGTGGTGTCCATCAAGGCTGTCCACTTTCTCCAATTTTGTTTAACTTCATCATAGATCTACTGATGGAAATAACGCTCTCATCGACTGAATTCTCGGGTATTGATCTCCTACCAGAAGGTCCTGTTTGGTGAAGACGCTGATAAAATGCAGAGTCTTTTGGTAGCACTGAGCAACAATGCCAGAATGTTTGGGATGCGCTTCTCTCCCTCTAAATGCAAGTTGTTGCTTCAGGACTGGTCTGCGTCAACACCTGAACTAAGGATAGGGAATGAAGTAGTCGAACGCGTTAACAACTTCACTTATCTTGGAAGTCTGATCAGCCCTAATGGGTTGGTGTGTGACGAAATCTCAGCACGGATTCGAAAAGCTCGTTTGGCCTTTGCCAACTTACGTCATCTATGGCGAAGGCGAGATATCCGTCTATCAATTGAGGGACGAGTATACTGCGCGGCAGTTCGTTCCGTTCTACTATACGGCTGCGAAACATGGCCTTTAAGAGTAGAAGATACTTGTAAGTTACTAGTATTTGACCACAGGTGCCTTAGAAATATTGCTGGTATCTGCTGGGATCACCGAGTAAGTAATAGTGAGGTTAGACGTAGGGTATTAGAAGATGATGGTAAATCAGTTGATGAAGTTATGAATCTTCATCGACTGAGATGGTTGAGCCACGTGCTGCGTATGCCTGAACACCGATTGCCACGACGCGCAATGCTAACCGGTATTAGGGATAATTGGAAGAAAGTTAGGGGCCGCCAAACCAAAACGTGGCATCAGTGCTTGAAGTCACTAACTTTTGTTCTGAGTCATATTGGTAGATGCAGACTGCCTGGTTGGGGTCCGCGTGACTATCGTAACCAATGGTTGGAAACTCTTGGTGCCATGGCTCAGAATCGATCACAATGGCGTCGGTGTATACACTCTCTGTCTTCCTTTAAACTAAGAGATTGAAATCACTGCATATCTTTCTTTCTACAAACTAATTCAATCTTCCTGTACTATCTCTTAATATGCAATCTTTCTTCTATATATTACCACCACTGAATTAACTACCTCTATTAATTCGGTGTTCATCTTGTTGTGCTAATGCGGTATGGAAACCTGGACCGATGCATATACGTGCCTGGTCCTACGTTGCAGCTGACTGACTGGAAGCTCATCTCATTTTTATACAGAATGTAATGAGCTGCAGCAAAATCATCATTAGCTTTTATTCTGAGCCATGTCTGACAACGTCTCAAGTCACTGAGTCGCACCCTCTTTATAACCAAGTCCATAGAGTCTCAGTGGAACGACATGCATTAGTCCTATGCAGCTGTCTTTTATACTACGACCCCTTATTCCCTTTTTCAATCAATCCCAGAACAATAGTGGACAACCTATAATTCACTGGGATGACTTTTGTGATGCATGATTACGCCACCGACACCAGTGTTTCGTGATCATGACACTAAATGAATTACCATTTCACAGATACTGACCGTTGTAGCTTGGTAAAATACTGTTATTACTATTTATTACATCCTGTGGGTACAACTGATTAATTACCCCCGTATAACTAAACATGGATTAATGAGAATCGATATAAGGATCGCTAGATTAGAAAATCTATGTATACTCGAAATATCGACGCACTGCAGTTTCTACTACTGATTCACTACCAGTTCAATAAACATGTCAAAATACACTGAGTAATATGTCATTTGCTTCTCTGGTCAGTTGTTATATTTAACACATAGCAATAATTAATCAGTGGCCTAATACATGTATCCAATTTCCATCAATATATCAAACTGCGTTAACTGATAATTATAAATAAGTCACCGAATTTTTTATTTTCATCCTCCCCAACACTGGTACATTACTTATTATTATTATTATTTTTTTAACACATAGATATTGGTACAAGGAGGCACCAAATACATATGCGCCACACAAATCTCAATTGATTTGTGTAAGGGCTGTGATACTTCCCAAGTGCCCAGACCGAAGCAGGTGGTTTTCTTAGGGGGCCACACCCCGAGCCTTCGACCTGAACGTCTTACCCACAAGGCAGTGGGGCATCGTAGGGAGATGCAGTCCCATGGTAGCCGGTGACCAAAGATTGGTTCATACGTCATTCGTTCCTTCAGGGTACTGGAGCCCATGTGCACCATTGGTTTGGGATCCGGTTAAAGCGCCGGACATTCGCTTTTCGTCCTCTCATTTTCGTAAACAACACCCCTGCCACGAGAAGGCAGTGAGTAGGACTTCCCATGCAGAGGCTGTAAACGCGTGGCCATGTGAGAGCATTTGGAGAGGGAGAGCGGACTCTCCCCACTTTCGGCCGTACCAGGGCATTTGGGGGCTTGGTGGATTACTCAACAAATTGATCAACCTACAAAGATTGTGGTGCTAACCCAACCATATGTTACTGCTTAAAAGTCACTAGGCGAAAAATAATCTCAACTTATACATTTTCTGGATATTTGTTCAGTGCATTTCAACAAATTTAGACTTAAGATCAAACCATCTAAATAGTACAGTCTGAATTGTGTAAAGCTTTCGTAAAGTTTTTGATATTTTTTCACTAACCAATTAAAATGACCGTTAATGCGTGCGTTACGTTGTTGTTGCTGTTGTCATCGTTAATGCCTCAAAACGGAGCAATCCGTGTATTTCTTGCATTTACAGCTTTCTAGGCGTCTAAAACTAAATCGTTTGTCAGATGAGTGTTTGAAAGGCGTCGCAGGTGGTAAGGCTATCGAAATAATTGCAAAGACTTATAATGGTGATCACCAACGATTCAACCTACCTTTACCACGTTCACAATCTAAGGATTGTGATTTCTCATTTAGTGGAATCCATGTGGCTGCAGAACAGTTGATCAATAAATTGGAATCTGAAAATCATGGTACGTGAGTGGTTTGTTAAACAAATATATATTACTTTTTATTGATCTACTTTACCATACTTCCGTTAAGAAAGTTCTAGCAAAGTATTTATCTCTATGAGTAATAGCGCTCAAAATTAAAAAAAGAAAAGACGAACGAGGTCGTTGACTTTAGTTACATCTCACTTTACTGAATATCATAAGATATAATTAGGCTTGTTAAAAACTAAATATTCGTTATAGTTACTATAATATGTATATTTCCTAACATGAAACAATAAAAAAAATCAGACCTAAGCTTTGTTTTAAAGTCTTATACCTCCGAAATTTTACTAATTATCATTTTATTTTTTTCATAGACGAGTAAGTGTATTTATGAATTTGAACACATAAATATTGGTACAAAGGGGCACCGAATTGATATGCGCCACACAAGTCACTTGATTTATGTATGGGCTGTGATACTTCCCAAGTGCCCAGACCGAAGCAGGTGGTTTTCTTAGGGGGCCACACCCGGAGCCTTTGACTTGAAGGTCTGATCCACAAGGCGGTGGAGCATCGTAAGGAGATGCAGTCCCATGGTAGCCGGTGACCAACAATATGTTCATACGCTTTTGAGAGATGATCCTTCTATTAATAAGAGCTTAATCAATTATACAGACTAAATGTAGTACTGAGTTTAATAAATCTATTCTAGAGTTATTTTATGTAGTAAAAAATAAAACTTTAGTTTACTTACTTGTTCGTTCTCATAAAGTTTATGCTTGAAATGAGAATAATAACTGATAAAACTATGAAAGTAACATTTCTCATGAAAAATTGATTATTTCCATTCACTTTCTTATTTTTCAACTTCAAAGCTAACTTATCTATTGCGATATTTTTCATCTGATGAACTGGCAATAGTTCACTAACTCATTCATTGCGTTAGGGTCCTGCTCACTGCTTTCTCGAGGAGTGGGTTTTGTCTACGAAATTGAGGGGACGAAAAGCGAATGTCTGGCTCTTTAACCGAGTCGGTGGGTACGGAACGTCCATGTAAGGGAGTTAAGAAACCTTGATTTGCAAGCAATGGTGCACATAGGCTCCACGATCCTGAGTAAACAAAAGGCGTATAAACCTATTGTTGGTCACCAGCTACAATGGGACTGCATCTCCTGACATTGCTTCGTTGCCTTGTGGATTAGACCTCTAGGTTAAAGGCTCAGAGAATGGCCCCTCATGAAACCACCTGCTTCAGCTTGGGCAGTCGGGCAGTATCTCGGGTCACATACAAACTAAATGACAACTACAACTAAAAAAACTATTCACTCTTTAATTCTCATTCTCACAATTCAAACTCATAACTATTTGCTAATACTCGCCTTTATTTCATCGCTTGTCTATTCCTGTCTTCCCATTTTTTATATTCCTTTATTCTTCGACTCGTACAGTAGTAGCTTTCCAATGGTGAAAATCCTGTTCTATCTAAACGATTTTAAGTCATTATTTAAAAGTTGGATGCTACCACCGAGTAAAAATTTCGAACCAGCCTTCCCGAAACCACATATCCCATTCAAACTGAACTATGGATAGGGTTAGATATGTACTTTGAAAGTCTCAACATCGATGTCTGTTGTCTATTCGATACATGTATTCAAGACTTTAGTGAAGTACTGCGAATTCTCTGTCCACATGCCGCTTAGAAAAGCTTGTTTCGCGTGTGTTTATCTGTGGGTCCTGTGGCATCTCCTGGTTTTTATGGCTTTGGTGTCCCACTAAGCGCTAGGACTGAGGTAGCACTAATCAGATGAACTCCCATTAGCAGTCGGTTATAAGCTGTTGAATTAGAAAGCGCCAGCAAAGTGGTAAGAAATCGCCTACACTCCGACAGAATGCAGCCTGAATGCGATCAAGGATGAGTTTTGCCACCAGTTAATTGTTCTCTCTTAGGAGATACTTTCGACGGATATTATAGTGTACTGAACGAGAACACAATCGAATGTGTTTGAACGCAGAATTACAAAACATCTTGGTAAAATCTGGGAACCATACGGTAAATACTTAGTTTGCAAAATTTCACTTCACTGTTCCTCCAGCTCCACAGCAATTATTTTCTTTTCTTCGACCTTCTGCTGCCAGGTATTTCACTTTCGGTTGATGATATATACTACTTATATCTATCGACATCAGTAGCACACACCACAGCAGTACTAGCCGGAGACTTGAATGCACAGGTCGGGCATCAAGGTACAAAGGGAAGTGGCTTGGTTCGTAAGTGGGGACTTGCTGGTCGCAGCCCGAATATTGGTAACTGTCTACTGTAACTTTGCTCAGATTACAGCTTGTTTTTGGTTAACATTATTGGCACTGATATGCTACTTAGTTTACTCTCTCTGTATCTCAAACGTGAACTCAGATTTACCACATCGCGATCAGCCACAGCTGTCGAGGTTGTGTACAACACTGCCTCTCCTTTTGAAATACTTATCTGCACTCTGGTCATTTCCTTTTTGTGCGCTAATTTTTATCTTACGCTTCAGTGGCCAACAAATTTATCGTCCTAGAAGGATCGATGTCAACAATTTGGTTTCAGCTTCTGTTGCAGTTAAATATCAAACCGAGCTAATTGAAGTACTTCGGTCTATTCCATGTAACCGCAAGTTTAGGGATAAAAGAAAATTTTTATACGGTGTAATTGTGCAAATTTTGTGTAAGGACCGAAAAGACTGGTGGTCGGGGCGTGCTAACGATTTGAAAGCAGCAGCTGCATCTGGTAACTGCCGGAAGCTCTTTCAGTTAGTTCGAGCCCCTGGCAGCAAAAAGTCTGGTGTGAGCGAGACAGTCTGCAAAGCTGTCAGGATGCCAACTAATAACATCTGCTACGGCGACACCGATCGAACTGTCCTGTTCCCCATGGGTGGTGACAACTGGTCTGCCTAACGAGGCGGAAGTCCGTAAAGAACCTCAACTTTTGTAGTGTCACAAATCATGAGTCTCAGATAACTTACCTCCGGCCATTTTTAAGGTTTGTGACGACCTGGTTACAGAACTAACTGAGTTGTTTACAAATGTCTAGCAATCAGAGTGTTCCATTGTCGTGAAATAATTCGATAGTTGTCCCTATCTTTAAAAATGGTTCTCGTTGCCTATACGATAACTGTCGGGAGATAAGTCTACTTCCGATTGCGTCCAAGCTATCGGCTTCCATCATACTTCGTAGATTGTCTGAAACTCGGAAAGATTGACGAGCAGGCTGGTTTGCGTTCTGGCTAGGAATGTATTGATCATATATTCACCCTCTACCAGATGTTAGAACACCGTCATACTTATAGCAGGCCAACAATCTTAGTGTTTCTTGACATTAGGCCGCTGATTCTCAGGATAGGAATGTTCTTTGGGATCGTTTATTGAAGATGGGTGTGCTTGAGAAGCTTAATATAACATCTTGAAGGCCGCATATACAAACACGTCAGGCGAAGTATGAGCATACAACCACCTCTTTCCATTGCCTCATCCAAGTAGTGAGGTTAGGGAGGGTTGCCCAATTTCACTATTCCTCTTCAACTTTGCCATCGATGTCGTTCTGGAAACAGCTATGATGGATGTAGGTAATGGTTGTGTGTATCTGTTGCCTGGAGAAGGACTTTTCGACTTTGGATATGCGGATGAGATTGTCTTAGTATAAAGTGATACTAGAGCCATTCAATCCGCACTTAATCAGTTGGGAATCAGTGTCCGTAGGTATGTCGTGCAAAGTACTTTTACAAGACTGGAAGGACCCTAAACTTTCACTCACTCTTGGAAGGGAGCAGATAGAAGTAGTCGAGAAATTTTAGGTGGAGTTTTGTTCTCTGACCTAGATGGTTTGGTCGTGGAGCTTTCATTGTTCTTCTGAGCAACATCATCAACACAAACTTCAGGTAGAAGTGAAGTGCTTGAATTTCTTCACATATGGTTCACGGATTGTCCTATCGAACTCGATCTTGATTGGTTATTGTTGATATTTAACCTGTCATTGTTTACTTGTTTATTTTGATTGTATCTCCCTTTAATCTGATTCTTGGTCTTATATTTGTCCATGATTTTTCTGATTAATTGATAGATTGAATGGATTTCAATGTGTTTATTCATTGCTGATTGACCTGAGTGCTAAGCTTATAAGAATTCTCTAGTGCTTTTAGTATTTCCAGGATTTCAACATTTTTCCAATCGATTGTGTGTCCACGTACACATGCATTAATGCCCCACGTGCCCTGGTACGACCGAGAATGGGGAGAGGCAGCTCTCCCTCCCGAAATGCTCTCACACGGCCACGTCCATATAACCATTGCCAGGAAAGTCCTGCTCACTGCCTTCTTGCAGTGGCGTGTTGTTTACGAAATTGAAAGGACAAAAAGCGAATGTCCGGCGCTTTAACCGGGTTGATAGATACGGAGAGTTCACCTAGAGGAGTTGGACAACCCTGATTTCAAACCAATGGTGCACATGGGCTCCAGTATCCCGAGGGAACAAATGGCGTATGAACCAATCGTTGGTTCAGGTGATCATATTATGTAAAATACGTGGAGCGGTAGCTAGTTTCCTGCTACTAGACTGTAGATTCGAACCCTACTATATCTACTTTGGTTTGGACAACTGGCTTGGGTTACTAGCCACTGAGAACAAAGTTTAAAGTCTCAAATCTAGTACATGGTAATTGATTATGCAAAATACAAGGCCACAAATAATAAACCTCATGAAACAAAATGGAATCTTCTTGAGGTAAAACTGAGTAACATATTCATAGTTACTGGGTTCGAATGTGATCGGCTAAAGAAATAATTAAACAATATTCTACAATTAAGTCTCTTTAAAAATTCTATAAAACAACTGTTCGGTTGGTACACATTTAAAATAAGGATGCAAACCTGTTACCTGACAATATTTTCTCACTATTATTGTTTCTTTTCCATAATCTTGGTGACGTTTTTACTGTGTTGGGTTTTTTTCTCGGTAATGAAAATGCTAGGTAGTGGGCGCACTTTATCGATCCAAGATATTGCTGATGTTTGTGCATCTGTACAGTTCTGTATGACGAGATTAATATGTCGGCGTGTTCAACGTGCTATTGAATATTGTTTGTTGAACACTGATTTCAGAGCCAGTGTAATTAGAAATCACCCTACAGCTTTGGTAAGACATGTATTTCATTATATCACCAATTGTGTTTGTTTTATAGTCATCATTATTTCATTATACCCGATTAACTTGCATCACGTGGTACGGCCACCAATTAGTGCCACCGACTTATACGACCAGAATAATGACGCATAAACTAGTATGAACAGTCTAGAGTTCCTATTGATCCTACATGATGGTAGCTTCTCCTAATCCAGTCGGTTCAGGTCAGAATGCCATTATCAGCCTCCGCTAGACGAATCATATATTTCAGACATACTGGTTTTATGTATAAGCCAAACAAACCACATCACACCATAAAGTAAAGATCATGCCAAAAGCTAGCTGTGATTGTGAGATACTGTAACCAATAAGTTGGGAATAACTTAATAGTAAACTATATAGTAGTAGCCAAACAAAAGCTTATAATGAGATGAATATGAATATACATATAATATAGTTACTTAGTAGTAGTTATACAATAAGAATATATATATTAACAGTCCATAAGTAGATCCTAGCCGTTACTATTCACTTATTCTTCGCCCGGATATAACAGTCATCACTGTTTTTTTGCAGTATTAATGAATATTTCAGATTTCAGTTAATTGTTGGAATATTATGATTCTTTTAATTCATTTAAAAAAAAAATTATGCACCATGAACCAACCAGTTACTTAGTAGTTTTCTGCATATGATTTAAAGAATTAGCTTTTGTTTGTGAGTCTTATTTTGGTTAGGTGGGTAAACGTAATTCGATGGTGATCTTCCTCATATAAATTGTTTTTTAACTAGATCAGTGGTACGGAACTGATTTTCGGAATTACAGCTCTGTTTCCCACAATGCTTTCGTTGCTAATGCGCATTTGGTACACGAACGGAATAGGTGCTCTAGTTGGGTGTCTAAATGTGGCCAGTATACATACCTTTGTGATAGCGCTTTCATCCGATTTTTTCCAATATGTTCTGCGTGAAACTATTCAATTGCTGGTTGCAGCATCTTTGGAATTTCGACACGTTTGGTAAACGGAAGGCAGTTATCGATGATTGAGCGTGATAGTTTGCGCTGACAAAGTAGCTGTAGCTCTGTAGAGCTAATCTTTGATGACCACCCTTTTAGGTGGAACTTTTTAACTTCTTGTAGGACTGGGTTTTAAAGGGTTTCTTCTATGACGTCATCTGATAACATTAGAGTGTTTCGAATGGCGTCTACTACTACACGCCTTGTTTTTGGATTTAAATCAACGGAAGCATGAATATCTTAGTTTGTCCTGTTGTTCTGTTGCTGATTTATCAGAAGAATGGACATCAGCAAACTCATAGTTATATATATATATTCTTTAACTGCTCTATAGGGTCGTCATTGAGAAATAAAGTTTACAATCCTTTTATCATGTTTGTTATAGCCTGCTGTTTCAAAAAGAACCCATCCTAACACTGTCCTAATAACATAAGGACTCTTTCTTCAATCCATCCGTTGTTTTAGGATACAGTGGGTCCAGGACGTACCTGAAGCCCAGATAAGCTTCGGTATCTTCACAAATTCCCTATTCCTTAAGCGCGAAGGACCTTCGATCCAGGTCTTTAAATCTAATTCCTTCTGTGTACCTCGTGGCAGCACTAGCACTCAGGTGCTGGTGATCCCAACCAATATGCGACTTACAAAGGTTCTGTAAGAGTTGCCCAGCAGGGAATTATATTGTAGCAATTAGGCGTAGTGGGTCAAACAGAGATAAAACGGTGGATAGAATTCCTTTCCTTTTTAGAGGGCTTTCCTCTGGTTCAAATCGAAATTTAGAAAATTCTTGTATGGTGTCCCACTTAATCCGAAGGTCTCGATGAGTACACAGTTGATTCAAAGGCTTATTAACTATCGTTTCCATACTATCGGATTGAGGAAAAACTTGTCTTACCAGTTCTGAGTTAATTAACTTCCTCGATTTGTTGCCGTTCCTCTTGTGTAGAGACTATGGGTAGGTTGAAGGTATCCAACATATTTTCTAGTAGGAGATTGCGGTCTCTATGGGCGATCTGGGTCTACCAGTTTTTGCGTATCTTATGACTTTGTTTAGACCTCAAAGATGCTTCAGTCGAGGGATCACTGTTTAGTCTGTAGTCATGAACGAACGCCAAACACCCAACTGTTAACCTTGAAGTTGCAATTTCTTTCCGTCTGTTTATAAAACACACGATGTATATAAAGTATGGTTTCTTAATCTCATTTATCTCCCTTTTTTATGGAAGTACCATCCGAACCAATCAAATGTTAATTTTGTGCTTGAAGTTACATCAGCATTTGCAAGTTGGTGGCTGATAAAGTTTCAACAGGTATTCGAAAAGTTGATTAGGTGTTTTCTAACATCCACTATTTATGACATTTAGGCTTCTGAATATAAAGAACATTTGTAGGTTTATAGTATTTGGTTATAATTTTTAAATAACATTAATCGTATGCTGTAGAACAACGAATTAAGGGATACCAACGTTAAACGCAGATATCTGTTGATAAGATTATAAATTTTTGTCCCCTGAGGTAGCTGGGACGTATGTCTAAGAAACGCCCACCTCGATGCGCAGTGCTGATTAGGGTAAAAGTGGGCTGAAACCCAGAAACACTCAAATTAGTATAAGGAGTCAATAAATGAAGTTACTATCAATCTGAGTCGTTCTGGTATGTTTGGATTCCCATATTGAGGTACTTACAATAGTCGTTATCAGAATTTAATCAACATGTGTTTCAGAAGAGTAGTTGAAATTGTTCCTTTCCAGATCCTAAGTCCTAATTTTCAAAATTAATTTATACCTTTTATCCTCTTTTCGTGTTCGATCGTTATTTTACCATAATACACACTAATATTCAACCCGTTTACAGTACATCATGTTAATTTTACCTTGATATACTGAAAACGAATAGTCTTTATTAGTGATTAAATTTGTCCTGATATTTTATTGTGCACATGTTTTTTTTCTAATATTCAGATCCATTTAATAATTTTGTTTAGGTTGTTTCTGGTGGGGTTGGTTCTAATTGTGTTATTCGTGCCGGTTTAACTGAGGTAGCTAATCATTATAATTTGAGATTTGTGGCTCCTCCACCAAGTCTATGTACTGATAATGGGATTATGATAGCATGGTATGTCGAAAGTTTATGGTTATATACATTAAATATTTAAAAAGTTTCTTTCTTCAAGGTTACTTAATAAATTTATACTATCTTATCATCATGTAACAGTTGTAAATAATAATTAAACATGTCAAATTGATTTCTTAATGAATAGATGGCGGTTTAACGCAATTGTAAAAATGTCCTGGATGTATGTTTCATGTTTGTACTCACTATCGAAGTTCACCTGCAATATGTGGAGAAATAATTCTAACTTATTCACACTAATGCCGTAGTTTGAGATGTTCCCAATGAGATATTTGGGGTGTGACTGAGATGTCTATGCTAATCGGCCGCTAAGTAATCATCAGCGTAAACTAGCGATAAGGGCCCTAACTGGGATAGTGATGACGTGAAGTTGAGTTCTACGAAAGCACCAGTTTTTACAAACCGCTGATATGCTGTTATAATGATTACAAACCAGGATAATACTTAAATTCAAGGTGTCTTGGTACTTGTTTCCAATCATTATTTAAGCAAGGTGTATCACATTGTCTAGTCAATTAGCCTTTTTTTTAACAAGATTGGTACCTAATCGTTCATCACAAAGAACTAAACAGCATAAAACTGGTAGGTGTGTAGTTACATATTTGTGTTAACTTTGTCATTTTCTATAGGGATAATCTGTAGAAAGTGGTCTTAACTTGCCACTCAATTGTGTTAAAAAAAGTACATGTAACCCATTCAATCAGAGAACTAGTGCATTGTTGCTTTCCGAACTTCATGGAATCTATATGTAATTTTTATAGTATTATTGAACTAGGCTAGAGAAAAAAGTCACATTAAAGTCTTCCAAAATTATGCGGTCAGAAGAAATATTTCTAAAGGGATACAAATGAAAACTTGTGTACAGTAAAGGCTATAGCTGTTTACCAATTCAAGCTTACCCTTGATTTAAAAAAAACTATGTCCAATCCATCATTCTGCCATGGACGCAACGTTACTCCTATAATCTGTCGCTTTCTTCTACTCCTTTATAGTTATTTTTCTCAACTATTAACAAACCATTACTGCTACATCTACTTGTTCTTTTCGTGATATTCATCAAGTGGACAATTATATTCACCTCAAAATTTTTCGTTAGCAGTTGGATTATAACAATATCTGATGCATCTCAATAATCTCTGACACTATTTTACTATGGATTACTAGTTTTGGTAAGCAAATTAAATATAAGTTCGATTGAACAGGTTTAGCAAATGAAATCCCTAAAAAGAAAATTCTCTTCATTGAGTAGTCTTTATTCCTCTCTAATGACAGTGTCTTTCCCTTTTGATATTTGATCATAAAATAACCGGTAGATATTCACTACTGTTCCTCTTAACAAATCAGTCATCAGTAAAAGATGAGATATTTATAAAAAAAGAAGGGTAACGGGTATCATTTGGTACAATGCATCACAATATATTCATGGAAAACCCGTTTTAATTGAACTGATCATATCCTCATAAAGTCATCCCTAAAACAACATTTAGATGAATTGTTGAGGATAGAACCACTGGCGCCAGTAAATTGTTTGCATTATGTTGATTTATCCAGATAGCAAGTTGTTGATTAATAATAAAAGTAAATATCACTAACTAATGATTTTTCCTTCATTTAAATCTTACCGTATCACAATATATTCTCCTAATTACTATTTGATTACTGGTCTCAATTAATCGTGTATTGCCCTCTTTCATTACTAATAAGGAACGGAATTTTACTTCAAAAGGAAAATTCTTCTCGTATTATGGAGGATATCTCTTCTGTTGATTTCTGTCCAAGGTTAAGTTGATTCGTTTTTATTTTGTATCTTTTGATGTAAATTAGTTGCGATTTCATAAATGAAAATTATATCTTCAGTGGAAAACATGAATTTCAAAGATATTTCACTCTTTTTACAAAGGCCAAAATAAAGTATGCATTAACGAATTTGACAGTATTATGGTGAACGGTTGCATGTGTTATGATATAATTCATTTGAACAACTACGAGGATTTTGTGTACGTAGTGACGATAGGCACTCAAAACAAATTATACTTATGTGTCGGTAAAAGTTGTATTTGCTTTTTTCGAATTGATTCATTAAACCCATGTGGCATTATAAATCAGTATATATGTGCTTTAACTGTTTCTGACATAGTTCCCCAAAACTTATATAATTCTCATTTATGCATTCATGGAGAAACACAATGAATTATAGTCAACAACATAAATCAAATAATACGAACGGGAAACATGAAAGTGTTATAACTCACAATGTAGAAAAAGTTAGCGAATATATCAGTCAGTCACAACGTGGGACTTCGTACGTACGTACATCAGTTCGAGGTGCCATACCACATTAGCACAGAGATTCAGTTATCGATTCAAATCCCGTGGTGGTAGAGGCAGTGATAGGGAACACTAGGGTTTGATGATGTTATTTAAGGAGTATAGTCCAGTGGAATAGATTTGGGAAGAAAATAAAGGACATGAAGAATTCAGAAGATTAGAATTTGAGAGAACACAGAGAGTAAATGCACTGCGCCATTGCAAACGATTTTGAGCTATGTCATTCAAGATCTCTAACCATCGGTTGCTATCGTCTCGCGGACCCCAACACGGTAGTCTACACCTACCAACATGGCTCAGTCCACTTGTCAGTGACTTCATGGATTTGTTCCATGTTTTGGTCTGGCCGCCCCTAGCCTTCTTCCAACCTACTCCTACACCAGAAAACATCGCACGTCGGGGCAGTCGGTGGTCGAGCATGCGCAACACATGTCCCAGCCATCTTAACTGATGAAGTTTCACTACTTCATCAATTGACTTGTCATCCTTACCTAGTACCAGTTTCCTAACAACTGAGTTACTTACTCGATGGTCCCAGAATATTCGAGCAGTGCTTCGAAGATACCTATGGTCGAATACTAGTAACCTACGAATATCCTCTACTCTTACTGGCCATGTTTCACTGCCATACAGTAGGACGGAACGAACTGCTGTGCAGTCAACGACAAAGTTAAACAAGAATGGAGAGAGTGGACAGCCTTAACGAACATCACTTGAGGTAATCAGTTCTGATGACAGTTCGCCGTAAGCTCTCACTCGACCAGTTGTGTTCGAGTAGAGAGCCTTTATAAGGTTAATGTACTTCTTGGGTACTCCTTTCAGTGACAAACACTGCCATAGAACCTCACGATCAACAGAGTCAAATGCCGCCTTAAGGTCGAGAAATACTATCATTGTTGGGCGTCTGAATGTGTGTCTATGTTCTAGGATCTGACGTAGTGTGAATATTCGATCTATACAACCACGTCCAGGTCGAAAACCAGCCTGGTTTTCTCTGGTCTGCATTTCACGAGCTTTGGTTAGACATCGAAGTATTATTGAAGCTAATATTTAAGACACTATATTAGTCAAACTAATTCATCTGTGATTGTCACAAGAAGACTTTTGTCCTTTCTTATGGATTGGCACAATCAGTGATTGAGACCAGTCAGATGGGATTACGTCCAGTTCCCAGATTCTACCTAAGACCTCAGTCAATCTCACTGCTAATACTGGACCACCATCCTTAAAAATCTCAGGGGTAAACCTGTCAGGGCCTGCTGCTCTCCCACGCTTTAGATTACCTATAGCTTTTTCAACTTCATAAAGAGTGGTAGGACTTTAATTACATTGGAGATCGTGGGAAACCGAAATGTGGCTAAAGGCCAGTTGAACTGATCCCTAAAGTGTTCTGCCCATCGATCCAATCTCCTGAATTGAGAATGAATAATATGTCCATCTTTCTCTGAGATTGTTTCGCTAACAGTTGGGTTCCTAATACCTGTTTCCTTAACAATTCTGAACAGTTGCCTGCTGTAACCTATTGCTGATGCCTTTTCCATCTCTCTTGCTTTCGCTACCCACCACTGTTCACGATCATTGCGTAAGCTTCTAGTCAGCCTACGCTTAAACTGACTCCACTCTTCGTTATGTTCACAGCCAGATGGAATGAGTTTTCGAGCATCTATCAGTGCGGTAGATGCTGCTGAGATCCAGTGTTTCTCCCTAACCTTATAGTTTACCGTACTTGCAGACATCACTGCTGTTTCTACAGCTTTCTGGATGTCATTCCACGCTGCCTCGGGGTGGGCACCACTTACATGGCTGCCTAACTGTTTTTCTAGTTGTTCCTGAAATATACTCTTAGCTTGACTATCATTAAGTAGGACCCTAAGGGGTTTCCTTGCAGCATGTTTCCTACGTCCAGCAAGACGTAGACAAATACGCACTCGCACCAGAGCATGATCTGAGTCTAAGCATATGCTCCAGAATGGACGACAGTCTTCTATCGAGCCACTCCATCGGTGGCTGATAGCGATGTGATCTATTTGGGTCCAGCGTTGGGACGAATTAGGGGGTCGCCATGTTAAAAGATGTTTTTACTTATGCTTAAAGTTAGTGTTTGCAAGAAACAGGCGGTTATCTGAGCATAGCTGCAACAGACGGTCGCCATTATCTGTTCTTTGAGTCGCGACACCATAAGACCCACCCAGGTGTCTTTCCCTTTCGCTCAGTTTACCTACTTGAGCATTAAAGTCACCAGCCACTATTACTACATCTGAACGCCTAGCTTTTCGGAGAAGGTCGGAAGGCTTTATGTAAAGCTCATCTTTTACATCATCTGAGCTGCAGTCAGTGGGAGAGTAGGCAGAGACGACGAACAGGCAACGACGAGTGTCCCTATCTTTCCGAGTCCTTACTGTTCCGTTTAGTCGGACAGCGCACAAACGACTGTCTACTGGGATCCAGTCTAAGAGAGCTAGTTCTGCACTAGGACTCAATGCTATACCTACGCCAGCGAGGCCACGGGAAGCAGCATCAGGGCTTCCAGATACACGAAGCGTAAATCGAGTTGGTTCGTTACTTTGACATGGTGAGGTCAAACGAATGACACTACTAGGATCCTGTGTGCGCGTTTCGGAGACGCAGCACACATCGATGGAGCGAGATTCTAAAGTCTTAGCTAAGGAAGCCTATTGTCTTACTTGGCAGTTTTCGGACGTTGAAAGCTCCTGCGTGTAGTTTAGAGCGTGTTTTCAGGAGACCAGGAATAAAATTCCGCGTACTCGAATCGTTCGAACTAGCGGGGCGAGGTGATAAAGGGACGTGAGAAGGGTTAGTCGTGGAGATAAGAGAGTTATTAGGTGTAGGAAGGATTTGAATGTGACCAACTTGGTCTCGTGTGCTGTTACGGGTATGAGAGTTGATGTCACTTCCCGGCTGCCCACACCATGGAAGGGTATTTCTTGAGGAACGTGAAAAGGAAATCGGATTAGCGTTGGTCTTAACGACCTGAGTGCGTGACTGCAGAGTCCAAGGGACAGCTGCTTGAGGCCGGTCGCGCACGGCCTTTTTGTGGGAGGTTTTTAATGTGTTAGCTCCGTTCTTCAAAGGGCCTTACCGCCGGAGACGGAAATCCGTGCGGTAAGGTGAAGTGTCACAGTTTTAGGGTGAACCTTTTCTAACCCCTTCCTTCCTTGTGAGAAGGCAGCATCGCTGCAGATGCTGGTTGTCCGAGGAAAACACCTTACTGCTGTCACACCTCTGTACAGTCAGCAGTACGACTTCGCCCTCAGACCTTGAGTTGCTGCTTTTAGTCTTACCGTTCTCCAATCGACCTGCCTGGCATGGTAGAACCTGCAGGAACATGTGTTCCAGACAGTGTAGCTCAGTTGCTTCATCACAACAGGCAAGCCCGTTTTTTTAACACATAAGTATAGGTACAGGGAGGCACCAAATACATATGCGCCACACAAATCTCAATTGATTTGTGTAAGGGCTGTGATACTGCCCAGGTGCCCAAACCGAAGCAGGTGGTTTTCTTAGGGGGCCACACCCCGAGCCTGACCTGAACGTCTGACCCACAAGGCAGTGGAGCATCGTGAGGAGATGCAGTCCCATGGTAGCCGGTGACCAACGATTGGTTCATACGCCATTTGTTCCCGCAGGATACTGGAGCCCATGTGCACCATTGGTTTGGGGTCCGGTTAAAGCGCAGGACATTCGCAAGCCCGACCACCACGTCAAGGTAGCAGCTATGGTCGAGTAGCGAATGTATGAGTCATTGTTATCTATTTTTTTATTCATGACATCTAAGGTCTTGAATTGTTGTAGAAACGTCAAATTAATAAACTTACGCTTAGGGATTCAAATGGGCTATTGATGTCACATCTTGGTTCGAGTCCTCCAATGTTTATTCCAAATCAATTATCTACTACACAGTGTTTGTTGTGTTAAGAGCAGGTGTCCATTGGTCATTTGTAATATATTTCTAAGTGAGTGAATATTCGTAAACTCATTAGGCTTATTCATCATCGTTACTTTGAGTAGTTCCATCATAAACAAGCATTAATTCAAATACATCCATGATCATATACTAGTAAATTATTTGTGTAGTTCATATTCAGTGGTTATGTTTCACAGTCATAAAAATGAACTTCTGATACTTCTCATATAATTTCCCACATTCATCTCTAATGTTAAACTTATTTAATATAAATCTTTATACTTAAACTTACAAACAATTCTAACTATAGTACACGAATAGAAAAAGCTGATCTGTTTTCTCAATGTCCATATAGAAAAAAAATATTGGCTTTAGTTACTTATCTCATATATTCCTATCTCACTAAGAACACAGTTAATGTATATATACCTAAGAATGATTGATAGCCCATGCCAATATTGTAACTGAATCCTTTTACACTGTCTTATTACTATTCAGACTTTAAAACTCATATTGTTACAATACAGATTATTAAAGTAGTAATATCATTGATTTATGAATATATATATATATATATATATATATATATATATACTTTCTTTTTCATTCACATAGATCTACATTTGGTGTTGATTGTCGAGAAGATGTAAAACAAGCTAATATATCAATTGAACCAATTAAACTATCCAATACTATTTTCCAGTCATAAATAATAGTAGTACTATTTTCTACTTAAACTTAGGAATTTATGTGAATAATATGTATAAAATGAACGGTGATTGTAAGAAATTTTATGACATAATTTCTTGAATAAAAGAAATATATATTCTAAAAACTTTCGTTTTATATTTGAACAAATAAAAATTTCACAATAGTCAGGTAGTGATTTAAATGAATGACCAAAAAAACAATTTCACAGATTTGAACTTGAAAAACAAATCGAACATTTCACTGGGCAATTCAGTTTTGAAATATCACAATCATTGAAATGTAAATATATGATGTACTGTTACTATGAATAGATTGAAGTTGAAAATTGGAACCATTGAATGTGGCAGCTTAATGTACACTAAGACACTCACAACGAAATTTCATAGCTTTTTGTTAATTCCCTTAATAGGGTTATGAATGAACATCACTATGTAGACTTCGTAATTTACAGTGATTACCTATTCAAAATCAATTTATGTATATTATCGTGAAACTAAAACAATATCTATAAACTTTCATTGATAACAATTATTGCAGCAGACATACATCGATATGTTTCGTCTGTTGTTGAGAAGTTCCATACTATGACGAAATGCCCGTTCAGTGCTTTAAATTTAATTGTTGAACTTTGACCGGTTCGTGATTTCAATCAAATTATTAGTACGGGGACTTGCGAAATATGTAGTATTTTCACAGTTGAAATCACGAATCAATCCAAGCTAGACTATCAATTAGAAAAATAGATCGACTCGTGGTTCCAACTCGAAAAAGTCAGTGAAATTAACAACAATAGCCAGCAGGAATTATCGGGCATGATTCGAGTTAGTTGGCACTCGCCAGCATGGTATATATGTGACCATAAGAGAACTGGTGCTCCCTGTGGGACTGCAGCTTGGCCGATAGAGCTTGATCAGCCCTAAAGATCTAGACAAAAATGACAATAGTCATTACCCAGTGATTAATCAATTGTAAACCATATCCTCTGCTTGATAAACGAGCTACGTATCCATGGGATAGTATAGAAGTATTAATGTACTGTGTATGCCAATGGTATTACATTCTATAATTTGCTATATGTCAAGCTTTAGAGAAACTATAGATAACTGTCAATGAGATAGTGGAGAAAATCATCACCACTAACTGAAGTTTGTGCTGATGATGTTTAGAGTAGCGATGAAAACTCCACGACCAAACTATCTAACTCAGAAAAACAAAACTACCAAAATAACTGTCAATGTGTGGTTTAGAAAAATTAAATCCATACAATCGTGAACTAGTGAATAAACTATGTGATCCGAAAATGGCTATTGCTTTTGCAGATAATGTTCGTCAAAATTTGTCTTCCAATAAACCTGATATTCATTGTAGTAATTCATCTACTATTCAATCAATTCATCAAGCTCAATGAATTGTAATAATGTTACTCCTTGTGTACAATCGGATCAAGAAAGTTAGTATTAATTAAGCTAGTTGTTCCTTTTACATGTACTTTTTCATAAACCTAAATGAATAACCATGAATTATGAGATTATTAGTTATTGTAGTGTTAAATAATGATAATATTATTGATAAGGTTAAACATTAAGTATGTGATATGGGAAAATTGAGTGAAAATTATATGTTGGCTCTGAAGACAGTAAGTCGTTAGGCAAAATTTTTTAAAACGAAGAAATACACAATACATAAGTAGAATTACGATAAGGAACTTATTTACAACAATGAAAAAGAAACGAAATCTTCAAAATAAATCATTTTAGGATGGATTACACTCTTGAGGTGGTGTAATAGTGTTTGAAGTTTTTCTATTAAGTGATGTAGGAGCTGGTGTTGTTGATGAATTTCTCTGAATCTTCTGACTGTTAGAGTTGGCGTTAGTGAAAATGTTATCTCGTTTTTTCTGATCACTGCATGATGAGATTTTATTCAGTTCATTTGAGTTCATATTGTTATGTACTTCTAGAGATGGTTTCTAGAATTATAATGAATTAAAATTAAAAAACGTAAAAATAGTGGTGTTTACAGTTGCAAAATTAAAAAGACAATGATGCAATGACAGAAACCTTATATGCGTATCATAATTGATGCTGGTGGAAATATTTCTTGTTGACAGTAGATGGAATATTTCGCTTTAAGACTGATCGGTCTTAATGCTTGGTTTAACAAAGGAGGGTGAAGTGATCGCTTAAACAGTCCTAACTGATTAATGACTTGTGAAATATATGTACAGATACGAAGTGGTTAGATGGCATCGATAAGTTGCTACAACTTGATCAAAGACGGAACGTCTGTCTATATTTACGGATAAGCGAGTTACTGTGTAAGTTTAACTTGCAATGACCCATGAAAGAATAAAACAAGCAGTTCGGAAATAGTTGTTTATTAGTATCTTCAAACCAAAGCTTCAGTCAAGCAAACGCAACACAGAACCTGGTACATATGTGCATCGCTTTAGGTGACCATACCCCATTAGCACAATGAGACGAAATTGGGAGAACCCCAGAGTATTAGGGGTAGAAAAATAAAAGATCGGGCATTAAAGATATCATTGAAGAAAACATAGATTGGTGGAATAATCAAAAAGTTTATGAGGAATTCAGGAAGACAAATAGTGGATGCGTCTCGGCTATTGTGAACGATTTTGAGCCATGTCAACCACAGTCTAACCATTGGTTACGATGGTAATGCTTACTTATGGCAGAACCATCAAGTAAATAATACTGCGATTAAACGTACAATTTCAGTCAGTCAGTCAGCTGCAACGTAGGACCAGGCACGTATATGCATCGGTCCAAGTTGCCATACCGCATTAGCACAACAAGATGAACGCCGGATTCATACAAGTAGTTAATTCAGTGGTGGTAATATATAGAAGAAAGAGTGTGTATAAGGAGATAGTACAGGAAGATAGAATTAGTTCCTAGAAAGAAAGATTTGAAGTGATTTTAATCTCTTAGTTTAAAGGAAGACAGAGAGTGTATACACCGACGCCATTGTGATCGATTCTGAGCCATGTCACCAAGAGTCTCCAACCATTGGTTACGATAGTCACGCGGACCCCAACCAGGTAGTCTGCATCTACCAACATGGCTCAGACTAGAAGTTAATGACTTCAAGCACTGATGCCACGTTTTGGTTTGGCGGCCGCAAACTTTCTTCCAGTCATCACTAACACCGGTTACCATTGCGCGTCGTGGTAATCGGTGTTCAGGCATACGCAGCACGTCGCCCAACCATCTCAGTCGATGAAGATTCATAACCTCATCAACTGATTTACCATCATTCCCTAATATCCTGTGTCTAACCTCACTATTACTTACCCGGTGATCCCAGCAGATACCAGCAATATTTCTAAGGCACCTGTGGTCAAATACTAGTAACCTACTCAGTGCTACCAAAAGACTCTGCATTTCATCAGCGACTTCACCAAACAGGACTATGTCATCTGCGTATTCTAAGTCGATAAGTGGACCTTCTGGTAGGAGATCAATACCCGAGAATTCAGTCGATGAGAGCGTTATTTCCATCAGTAGATCTATGATGAAGTTGAACAAAAATGGAGAAAGTGGACAGCCTTGACGGACGCTATTTGAGGTTGCAAAAGCAGATGACAGTTCGCCATAGGCTCTGACCCGACTAGTAGTGTTCGAGTAAAGAGCCTTCACAAGGTTTATGTACTTCTGAGGTACACCTTTCAATGACAGACACTGCCACAGAACCTCTCAGTCAACAGAGTCAAACGCTGCTTTTAAATCAAGGAAGACCACCATTGTCGGACGCCGATAAGTATGCCTGTGTTCTAGAACCTGACGAATAGTGAATATGTGGTCGATGCAGCCACGACCAGGTCTGAAGCCAGCCTGGTTTTCACGTGTTTGCAACTCACGAGTATTAGTTAGGCGTCCGAAAATTATCGAAGCTAGTATTTTAGATATTATATTAGTTAAACTAATCCCTTTGTTATTATTTATTTTAACACATAGGTATTGGTACAAGGAGGCACCAAATACATATGTGCCACATGAATCTCAATTGATTTGTATGAGGGCTGTGATACTGCCCGGGTGCCCAAACCGAAGCAACTGGTTTTCTTAGGGGGCCACACCCCGAGCCTTCGAGATGAACGTCTGATCCACAAGGCAGTGGAGCATCGTGAGGAGATGCAGTCCCATGGTAGCCGGTGACCAACGATTGGTTCATACGCCATTTGTTCCTTCAGGGTACTGGAGCCCATGTGCACCATTGGTTTGGGATCCGGTTAAAGCGCCGGACATTCGCTTTTCGTCCTCTCATTTTCGTAAACAACACCCCCGCCACGTGAAGGCAGTGAGTAGGACTTCCCTGGCAGGGGTTATGTACGCGTGGCCATGTGAGAGCATTTCGAGAGGGAGAGCGGACTCTCCCCACTCTCGGCCGTACCAAGGCATTTGGGGGCAATCCCTTTGTGGTTGTCACAGGATGATTTTGATCCTTTCTTATATATTGGGACGATAAGTGATTGTGATCAGTTAGATGGGATAACGTCTAACTCCCAGATTTTAGCTAAAATATTAGTCAACCTAATCGCAAAAACTAGACCATCATCCTTAAACACCTCTGGGGCCAATCCGTCTGGACCAGCTGCCCTTCCTCGTTTCAGATTAGCTATAGCCTTTTGAACTTCAGCTAGAGTTGGAGGACCTACCTCAATGTTCCATTCATACTGACTGGGAATAGAGGGTAGTTGTAGAGTAGCTGAAGGCCAACTGAAATGCTCCTTAAAATGTTCCGCCCATCGTTCTAAACGTCTAGACTGGGAGCAGATGAGAGTGTAGTCTTTTTCCGAAATAGTCTGACTTACACTTGACTTATTAATTCCAGTTTCTTTTATTAGTCTGTAGAGATGTCTTGTGTTCCCTATAGCCGCCGCCTTTTCCATCTCTTTTGCTTTCGTTGCCCACCACTGCTCACGATCATTCCCTAGACTTTTTCTTAACCTAGATCTGATTTCTTTACGCTCTTCATCGTGTTCAGAACCTGATGGGATGAGTTTGCGAGAATCCATCAGTGCAATAGACCTTGAAGAAATCCATTGGTTCTTTGTAACCCTGTGGTTTAAATCACTAGTAGATGTCACTGCTGTTTCCACAGCTGCTTGTATAACTTTCCAAGCAACATCGGGGTCAGCTTCGTTTTCAGAACTACCTAAGTGTGACCTCAGTTGTTCCTGGAACCTAATTTAGTTTTCTCATTACTCAATTCGGTTCTAATGAGTCTTTTTTGTGTGGCTTTTTTGCGTCCAGTGAGGCGCAAGCAGATGCGTGCTCGTACTAGGGCATGGTCGGAGTCCAAGCAGGTACTCCAGAATGAGCGACAATCTTCTATCGACCCTCTCCAACGATGACTGATGGCAATATGGTCTATTTGAGTCCATCGTTGGTTTGGTGCAGGGGGGTCGCCATGTTAGACGATGTCTCTCCTTATGCTTAAAATTTGTGTTTGCTAAAAATAAACGATTGTCTGAGCAAAGTTGCAGCAGACGATCACCATTATCTGTTCTCTGTGCCGGAATACTAAAATACCTACATAAATGTCTTTCTGTTTCGTTTAAGCTACCTAACTGGGCATTAAAGTCGCCTGCTACGAGTACTATGTCTGAACGTTTAGCTTTCTGAAGAAGTTCAGAGAGTTTTCTGTAAAATTCATCTTTCACTTCATCCGAACTGCAGTCAGTGGGAGCGTAGGCAGAAACGACGAAAAGGCAACGACGTGTGTCCTTATCCTTCCCAGTTCTTACCGAGCCGTTTAGCCGAACAGCGCATAGATGACTGTTTACGGGGATCCACTCTAATAGCGCTTGTTACGCCCTCATGCTTAGTGCTATGCCTACACCTGCAAGTCCACGAGAACTAGCCATCGGGTCGCCAGATACACGGAGGGTGTATCTCGTCGGCACTCCGTTTTGCCGAGGTGAGGTCAAGTGAATGACCACACTAGGATCCTGTATGCGTGTTTCGGAGACACAGCATACATCAATCGTACGAGATTCTAAGGTTTTAGCCAAGGAAGCCTGCTGACCGATTTGGCATAGTGTGCGTACGTTCAAGGTTCCAATGTGTAGTTTGGAGCGAGGTTTCAGTAGACCTGGGACAGTGTTTTAAGCACTAGAATCGTTGGCTGTGGTGACACTTGAGGAGGAAGCCGAAAGAGGGAGTTTAGATTTGAAAGTCGATGTAAGAGGAATAATAGGAATTGAAGAGATAGGTTGATTATGAATACAGTGGTCTTGAGTGCTGTTAGAGGTATGAGGGCGGTTATCACTTCCCGGTTTCCCACACCATGGAAGGGTTCTGCTGGAGGTACCTGAAAAGGAAATTGGATTAGAGGTGGTCACAGGGATCTGAGAGCGTGACCGCAGTGCCCAAGGGACAGCTGCTTGAGGTCGGTCACACACGACCTTTTTATGAGTAATTTTTGTGTTAGCTCCATACTTGTTGAGAACTTACCGCCGGAGACGGATATCCATGGGATAAGGCGAGGTGTGCATTTTTAGGGTCGACATTTTCTAACCCCACCCTCCTTTTGGGAAGGCAGCATCGCTGTCATGCTGGTTGTCTGAAGGAAACACCTTACTGCTGTCACACCTCTGTACAGTCAGCAGTACGACTTCGCCTTCGGACCTTGGTTTTGTTGCTTTTAGTTTTACCGCTCTTCAACCGACCTGTCTGGCATGGTAGGACCTTGAGGGACGGTTGTTCCAGCCAGTATAGCTCAGTTGCTTCATCACGATAGGCAAGCCCGACCACCACGTCAAGGTAGCAACAACGTACGATTTCAGCTGAAAACAACGAAGCTATAAAACGTAAATCGATTGAAGCCATTGGGATATGAGCTGCATATTATTGGCAGCTAATTCTAATTACAGGTGTAAACCTTTTGACTGGAGACCGCATGATAACCACCATTTGTGATGATAAGATTAAAAACTCTAATTTCCTAAAACACTTTTCAAAAGAAATAGCATTTTAAGGCTGAACAGTATAATGAACATTTTGAAGGTATCATATAAAACATGTTAGAAATGTAGGCCAGTAATAATAATATTTACCTGTTTTAAAGGTTCTTGCTTAGGAATTTGCCAAGATGGATTGAGAGGTTTAGGCGCTGCAGGAGTAAGAAAAATTTCATCTTTCTTATTTTGCGGTTGAGAAATAGTAGGACGATCAATGAATTCAGATGGTCGACGATTAGCATCCTGATGATCTTTACCAATATTAGCGTGAACAGAACGGAGTACATCCTGTGGTAATTGAGATGTGCTTTCCGCTAAAGGTCCATGTTGCAAAAAGCTAAAATCCTGGAATTATATTAATAAGAGAAAGTCATTTAACAAAACAGGAAAATAAATCAGCATGTTTTATATTGTTTAGATATTATCTTTTGTAAATAATTCTTAGTGGTACATGCAGCATTTCATTTACATTTGCATTTTTCAAAACATTTTTCTATGTATTTAACATTTGATTGTTCATGAGAGAACTATTGTTCGTTTAATAACTGCGATGAGTGCTACTCAACATCCGATTTGGAGGTTACATGGTTCAATATTAAATCGCACGTTGAATAACATTTACTGATGAAACTTTGCAAATCAGTACAAGGGTTTATTATTCCGCATGTCACTCAATGATGAAATATACCTTCGAATCATTAAATCTCTACATATTACCTCTTTGACAGAAATAACACTTCCTGCACTAACAGCTTATTTATAACACTACCATGTGGGTGCATTAGTGAAGACCATAATGAATGAACGATAATTTCTCTATTATTTTGCATCAGAAACTTAGGCTAGACACACTGTACAACGATAGTAACAAAAGCCGAATGAAAAAATACACTATGACGACTCGTCAATCCAAAAGCTAGAATATATATAATACATGGCTAATTCCCGTTCTTTACAACTGTGTGACGCTTAACCTTAAGTATTGGGAATATACATCAAATATCATGAAGACTAAATAGCTTTAACAGTCCTCCACGTTAAAGAAAGTTGTGTCACGCATACCATTAAATCTACCGTATGTGAACAATTTGTACAATGTTGTATATTGTCTATTAAAGTGTTTTACAACACAACTGAGACACGCGAGAAATCGAGGTTTAAAATAATGATTTGTCTAAAGAATGGTATGTCGAGAAATTCGAACATTTCCTTTCTACATGAAGTTTGTGCTGATGATGTCGTTCAAAAGATCGATAAAAGCTCCACGACCAAACCATCCAGCTTAGAGAACAAAACCACCAAAAAGAACGACTCCATTGTAACAATATACATATGAATTGGTTACAAACCTCAACTCGAGAGGTATCCGTAGCAACTGACACGTCTATGTGTATAAAGATGGAAAGGCTTCCCGTAGTAATAACATAAAGATTAATCACGACATACGATAGAGTAAATGATAAATGGTGGTTGTGTCTACAGTCAGTAATGACATCAGACAGTCAAAATGAGAATAAGAGCACAAAATAAAAGTCGTTGCGCTTAAACAAAGATGCGAAGAATGCACACAAAATGGAAATAACTGTTACAGAGGCTGAAATAATGTAATCGCAATAATAATTACAGTAAATGCTGTTAGGTTATGTAAATCCTCCAGAATATTATATAGTAAGTGACGTACTTTTCACTAGTAGGGACGACTAAACGAAATCGTGGCATCAGTTCATAAAGTTGCTAGCTTCTGGCCTGAGACACGTTGGTGGCTTCAGGTTACTTGATTTGGGGTCCGTGCGACTATCGCAACCAATGGTTGGATATTCTGGGTAACATGGCTCAGAATCAGTCACAATTGCCTATGTGTATACACTCTTTGTCTTCCCTTAAACCGTGAGATTAAAATTACTTTATACCTTTCTCTCTACGAACTAATTCTCTGTCCCTGTATCACATCGTTATATGCAATCTTTCTTTATATATTACTACTATAAAAGTGACTACTTCTATGAATTCGGTGTGTCATGTTGTTGTGCTAATGAGGTGTGGTAAGTTGAACCGATGCATGTATGTTCCTGTTCTCACGTTGGAGATGGCTGACATTTCACTATACGTTTAGAAATGATCAAAAACACTACTGTTTACTGAATGATTGCAAGTAGTATGAACCAATACACGAAAATGAGATAAGTTAGAAGAGGAAGACGGTAAATGCTAACAAACGGGATGCGAAATATTGTTCGGAGCGGATTCCTGAAACCGTTACATGACAGAAACCATATTCGAATCGAAGAATTATAAACATGAAACGTTACACTAATTATCAATAAAAACGAATGTAACACACATGTACAGTCTTTAACAATGAGTAAAAATTGATAATCGCACCCGAATTACAGACAGTAATCACATCCGCATACATACAAAGATAACACAGACAGTAAAAGTGGAGTTGTATATCCAGATAACCAGTAACCCAAACAACCGAAAGTTCACAGTTCATGCAATTATTTACTTGTGCACAAAATACGCATTTCATTGCTTAAAAGACCAATACTGCCTATAAAATAGTCAAATATTTTTCCAGTAGTATTGTATGAAAGAACAAGCTTATGATGACCTCATAAACTCATCACAATAACCCAACAGTATTTATAATTTAATCATAGTGGGGGTATATGAATTTAGTAGGAGTAATTACTAACGCAAGAAGGATGTATACAGATATCCCTGCTGATCAATAACTACTGTAGTAGAATGATTGATGCAATCAAATAAGTTCTGTATTGAGTTTATTACATTTGTGTTAAAGAATTCATTAACCAAGAGAACATTATATAAGAATCTTTTGTAAATCTTAATTACTCTACTAGGGTTTTTCTGTAAATATGTACTGATACAAAAAACAGCAGAGTACGAAATGTTCGAAAAAAGTCAAAACATGCTGATTAGATAAGTGTTTTTATTAAATTAATAAATATATAGTGATTTTTTAAAATAATTAATTTGAATTAAGCAATCGAGACTGTCTAAAGGTCAAAAGACTGTCCTGACTATTTGATAACATCTCAAACTACATAGCTGGGTGACCTAGGTTCGAGTCCCCAGGAGGTTATCAGTTCCCTCAAGATTGTAGAAACCCCTTGCCACCTAGTACGAAATCCATGTCCTGGGTTTTTCGTTGACTACCTTCAACCACTTAATACTTGAACATAGTGCACGAGATGTTGAATCATTCAGACCAGTGGGCACATCGCAACTATACAGATAGAATTTAGCGAGCACCAAAGAATTAGACAAACATGACATTAGTCAGTGTTTAGTTATCAATGTACTGTATACATACAAGTCAAACACCAACTGCTTCTCTTCACGCTATGCAGTTTCTGCAACAGTTTCGTCCAAATATTCCCTGAACTAACAAAAAAAATGTTTCAAGTTTGAGAATAGGTTGACTAAGAAAATATGTGCAATATACAAAAGCCAGTAACACTTACATAGAGAACAGGCTTTTCTTCAGATTTTGCTAAACCTGTAGGTTCTGTAACAGATACAGCAGGACGACTGCGTTTATTATCAGATGAATATTCAGGAGACTGTTGAGGACGTTTAGGTGAAGTGATAACATTAGCAATTGCTGTAACTGCAGCACCGACGCGAGAGAAGATTGATGTAGATGAGGTCTCGGAAGATTTACGAGAAGACGGAGAAGATGATTTGTTTGTTACAAGAGTACTAACTGTAGTTAATGAGTCTAAGAAGAAAACAATATTGAACAAGAGCGTAATAAAAAAGAAATATGAAGAGATGTGTTAATATGTGTAAAAATATAACAATCGATTGTTTATTGTTTCAGATAAATTTACTTCAAGAATTGATTTCTGCTACATTAGAGGAAATTACGTGATAATAGTAATAAATATGAGAAATAATACACTTACGAAGAAACTGTGATAAAAAAGAATGTGATTTCTTCCAAATAATTAAGCATTAAACTGAAAGACTTGATCACACAAAAGATGTAAACTGTGGTATGACCTTTAGAATTCATCTAAAGACAAGTTAACAGTATTTCTAACACTCCGACAAATTAGCACCTTGACGTTGATCTACCTGCGTACACGGTCTATATTTTGAGCTAGAAGCAAGATAACTTTTGGGCTATACAACGAGTTTTGAATTACGATAAATCATTCTAAATTCTTCATTTTATTTGGTGATCTACGAAAATTCAGACTTTACGATTGATAAATCGATGGTGCAACTGTGAGGCCTTACCCTTAACATAAGAACATATATTGAATAATTTACGTTACAACCAATGACCGTACGTTGAACGAATTATACCCTCTTTCTACTATTTTAAGTAGAAATTTCGGTACTTGATATTGTAGATACTTCAGAGTTCTCAGTCACAAATGTAACGCCTCTCCGTTACAGTTATGCTACCTTAATTATATGGGGATATATGATACGATGCCCAATGACCTAGCCTAGCAATCAGGTCAGCTGATTGAAGAATGAGTGACCTACAAGCTGACTTCCTTTAATCGCTTAAGAAATTTTACCATGTGTATTTTGTGCTCATATTTTGTATATAAGCAAGATATTTTGTTGCATGAAAGACCTATTCATCTAGCTAGTGGTCTTGTTTTTGTTTTATACCCATCCGAGGGGTGGAGTCAATAACTGCAGTCTCACAAGTATCTAACATTCGGTTATATGATATCATAGAGTTTATCTATCGACAAGCGTTCTATTCATTAATTTTAACAAACAAATTACTAACCGCCCATAACAAAGTATGACAAGTATATGATACAATTCATAAATTTTGATCAGTAGTATCAGTCAGTCAGTAAACATGAAATTTGGTTGTAAAATGCGTCAGTAGATGTTCCCACATCAGCAGAACCAAATGAGTGAAAGCAAACTATGATGCAGACTTCAGGATTTGGAGGAAGACAAAGAAAGAATACTAATGACGTTGATTTCCGGTCATGTCACTAATCGTCTCCAACAGATAAGTCTGTGCTTGTTTACCCAGGTCAACTGAACGCTCCATGGTTTTATGTATTGATAATATGTCGTGAACCGCCTACTAGTAGAATTCGTTTCAAGATACTCTCATGCTAAACAGTATTAAGAATTGTGTACTCCCCTTATGTTGGAATAAATGCGACAGTTATGTGAAAAACTGTTTGGATTAATCAGATTGTGAATCTTCATCGACTAGGTAGGTTGAGACTTCTATTATGTATGTTTAACGACTTGCTGTCTCAACGAGCGATGTTAGCTGGCGAAGATGTAAGTTGGAAAAAAGCTAGTGGTAATAAGACCAAAACATGCTATCAGTTCATGAAATCATTCACTTTTGGTCTAAGCCATGTTGGTAAATGCAGGCTGACTGGTTAAAGTCAGAGAAATAAATTTGACCAAGTGGTTGAAGAATTTAAGTAAGATGGCTGAGAATCAGTCACAATGGTACAGATGCATTTAATTTCCTCGAGATCGTCAGTACCAACATCCCTTCACATATAATTTTCACTCAATTTTCCCATATCACATACTTAATGTTTAACCTTATCAATAATATTATCATTATTTAACACTACAATAACTAATAATCTCATAATTCATGGTTATTCATTTAGGTTTATGAAAAAGTACATGTAAAAGGAACAACTAGCTTAATTAATACTAACTTTCTTGATCCGATTGTACGCAAGGAGTAACATTATTACAATTCATTGAGCTTGATGAATTGATCAAAGGAGTTGATTGGATAGTGGATGAATTACTACAATGAACATCAGGTTTATTGGAAGACAAATTTTGACGAACATTATCTGCAAAAGCAATAGCCATTCTCGGGTCACATAGTTTATTCACTAGTTCACGATAGTGTGATACACGTTGTTGTAGTTTTGACGATTTTTCAAACATCTAATTTATTTCAAAATCATATAAATTATTATTGATAGAAACAATGTATAAATATGAATTAGAAAATAAATTTATTGAGAAGTATATATAATTTTGTGGAACGGTAATTCAGTGGTTATAGTGTTCAAAGTTCACTTTCAGATTGTCGGTCCCAGATCTACTCCAGCTAATTTGATTTGAAGAATTTAAAGAATGGCCCGACGCCAAATCTCTACTCGATAAACATGTAATAAGAAGGTAAACCTTATAAATATTGGAACAGAATGATGTTTAGGCGATAAGCATTAATACGATTGTATGGATTTAATTTTTCTAAACCACACATTGACAGTTATTTTGTTTTTCTGAGTTAGATAGTTTGGTCGTGGAGTTTTCATCGCTACTCTAAACATCATCAGAACAAACTTCAGTTAGTGGTGATAATTTTCTCCACTATCTCATTGACAGTTATCTATAGTTTCTCTAAAGCTTGACATATAGCAAATTACATAATGTAATACCATTGGCATACACAGTACATTAATACTTCTATACTATCTCATGGATACGTAGCTCGTTTATCAAGCAGAGGATATGGTTTACAATTGATTAATCACTGGGTAACGACTATTGTCATTTTTGTCTAGATCTTTAGAGCTGATCAAGCTCTATCGGCCAAGCTGCAGTCCCACAGGGAGCACCAGTTCTCTTATGGTCACATATATACCATGCTGGCGAGTGCCAACTAACAAGAAACATGCCCAATAATTCATGTTGCCTATTTCCAACAACAAAGCAAAGGACAGAGCATTCGACTTTAATCCATACTTTCAGTATGCAAATGCATCTTGCTGGTCCAAATTAGCACAGAAGTTTAGTTGAATTTCCATACTGACTTCTTCGGATAACCCCGAACTACAAAAAAGTAGTACGATGTCGTCACTTAGGCCTAGATTGAACGCATAAAAAACATGATAGATGGAATTCAATAGTGACTGGAAGACATGACAATGGTTATTACTCGATGTTAAAATGACATGATACATCATTCACATCGAAGATAACAGTTAGTCCATACAGCTCAAAGGTAAAATCTATCATAGCGACACATCTGATGCGGATTGGGATCAGTGAGACAGTATAAGTCTCTGTAAGATACGCCTCACTGATAGATACCAATTATCATTAGGTTTAAGATCAATCGCCTTTTCAGTAGATTGCTTCCAACAATTTAATGATATTCAAAGTCTTGTTAGAATGAAACTACAATGAATATATTTAGTGTTACCAAAGATTAGTTATAATTCGTCAGAAACTCCATGACCTTATTTTATCGGGCAAACAATTTTCCGATGACGTAGTGTAACAAAAAAACAGTTGGCCTTTGACACCGATTAGTGAGTAGTGACAAATATCATGTTTGCCTAGTAATTTAGTGTTCACGAAATTTCGTCTATCAAATTGCAATGTAGACACTAGTGTGAGTGATCTGAAGTCGTATGCATCATGTTGAAATGTCTAGAGGTTGGAATTTGTTTGCGAGAAACCCTTTACATAGGTTTCCTACCAGTTGACACTCGTCATCAGCAAAGTGTAACCTAAGACCTCGTAGGGATTGATGCTTGCTATGGGTGCGAACGTGGGCCAATTAGCTCCAAAGTCTGAGACTTTAACACTGACAAAGTTTAGGAGTGTCTGATCACTCTTGGTAGTTATATATGCCTAGAGAGATACATTATAGTCTTTCAATAAAGGTAATGAGAATTTACAAACTTACCTCATTCAGCTCATCATTTTTAGCTTTTAACTGATTAGTCAATTCAACATGTGAGTTTCTAAGAGAGAGTAGCTCTTGTTTTGTTTGATGCCACTGATCTTCAAGCTCGTTTCTTTCTAAAATAATTTTGTTTAGTGACTTTTTCTACAAGAAAAGAAAATATAGAACAAACATAACGAAAACCGACACTAGAAAAACTGGGTTGTGAAAAAAATATGTTAAATAGATAAGTAAACAAGGCCTGGATGCAAAACTAGTAAATTATTAACAAAATGCAAGATCACGAGTTTGTTTGCATTTACCGTCTTCCTCTTCTAATTTATCTCATTTTCGTGTATTGGTTCATACTACTTGCAATCATTCAGAAAACAGTAGTGTTTTCGATCATTTCTAAACGTATAGTGAAATGTCAGCCATCTACAACGTGAGAACAGGAACATACATGCATCGGTTCAACTTACCACACCTCATTAGCACAACAACATGACACACCGAATTCATAGAAGTAGTCACTTTTATAGTAGTAATATATAAAGAAAGATTGCATATAACGATGTGATACAGGGACAGAGAATTAGTTCGTAGAGAGAAAGGTATAAAGTAATTTTAATCTCACGGTTTAAGGGAAGACAAAGAGTGTATACACATAGGCAATTGTGACTGATTCTGAGCCATGTTGCCCAGAATATCCAACCATTTGTTGCGATAGTTGCACAGTGGTCTTCCCTGACTTAAAAGCAGCATTTGACTCTGTAGACCGAGAGGTTCTGTGGCAGTGTCTGTCATTGAAAGGAGTACATAAACCTTGTGAAGGCTCTTTACTCGAACACTACTAGTCGAGTGAGAGCTTATGGCGAACTGTCATCTGCTTTCGAAACCTCAAGTGGTGTCCATCAAGGCTGTCCAGTTTCTCCAATTTTGTTTAACTTCATCATAGATCTACTGATGGAAATAACGCTCTCATCGACTGAATTCTCGGGTATTGATCTCCTAACAGAAAACATAATGATTACTTAGTAGCTAATATTAATGATGAGTACAATTGATTCATGATTTTATGTCATGTAGAAAAAAACCATATCCAGCACAGATTACCTGTTCAATAGGATTTGGCAATGCAGAACACGTTATTTCATTGCAATTTCCATAGAATAAGTCCCAAATCCATGGACATTTCTAAAATATATATAGTAAAGTATAAACACATCATTTGAGTATTAAGCAAATTGATCAATTACAAAAATTCAACTCAATGGTTAAAGCTATAAACGAAATATATGTAACAACTGATATTAGTCATATTTTTAGATTGGAGATAGCAGGGGAATTAAGTAAACACATTTTGCTCTATTTTCGACTCCTCAATTGGTTGTGCTCGCATCAAAATGTCAACATTCACACTGAAACTAGAAATGATGTCAGTTGTTATATGGACTAGGTATTTTCGACATAGACTTTAGTAACATAGAGCCTAGTACTATTGTGCATTGGCTTAAGTGGCCATACCGCATTAGCACGACGAGACGAAAATAACACAAAATCGAAATATTGTTGTAGCAATGATAAAAAGAAAGATTAAACTTGAGAACATGATTTAAAATATTAGAGTAGAAATGTTTGAAGCGATATCAGAATTTAAGATTAATAGGAAGATAAGTAGTTAGTGCATCTGCGCCAATGTCTTTGAGAATTAAATATTGATATTTGAAACCATAGGTACTACGTTCATATCTCAGTGCAAATATCAGCACAGGAATGCAGGTAAATCTACCGAGCAAGTCTCAAATAGGACGGAACACATGCTCTGGATTCCACGTAGTAAAATACACAAACTGAGAAAGTTATGCCGAAAAAATGATATAAAAATAGACAAATAAAACGAGGATGGAGCGGGGGAAACAAATAACGGATAGTAGTAGTAATAACAACACTAAATGATTCAGAAGAAACTGAAAACTGAATACTCCTAGATTGTTTACGTCGAATTCAACTAATTTATTTAAAGTCCTCCATACTCTAGTTTTAGTCAGCCCAAGGATCAAGTTCAGAAAACGCATTTAACACCAAAGGATATAATAGCTACAGAGGTTCAGTGTTGTTTCTATTCGGTCGAGTTTAAATAATTTAGAATATTTATGTATATTATCCGCCCCCAAATGCCCTCTCGAAATACACACGGCCACGCGTATATAACCTCTGCCAGGGAAGTCCTACTCACTGCCTTCTCGTGGCATTACTGTTGTTTACGAAAATGAGAGGACGAAAAGCGAACGTCCCGCGCTTTAACCGGATCCCAAACCAATGGTGCACATGGGCTCCAGTATCCTGAAGGAACAAATGGCGTATGAACCAATCGTTGGTCACCGGCTACCATGGGACTGCATCTCCTTACGATGCTCCACCGCCCTGTGGGTCAGACGTTCAGGTCGAAGGCTCGGGGTGTGACCACCTAAGAAAACCAGTTGCTTCGGTTTGGGCACCCGGGCAGTATCACAGCCCTCATACAAATCAATTGAGATTCATGTGGCACATATGTATTTGGTGCCTCCTTGTACCAATACCTATGTGTTAAAATAAATAAGTAAATAAAATAAACAACAATTTGTAGTGTAGTATTTTGATTTAATATTGTGTTGTCCTGTTTTTATTCAGGTTTAGTTACGATAAAAATATGTTAATCTACGGTAAATATGGTTTGTAAAATCTTGGTTAAAAACACTACTATGATTAGATAATAACATACATTTTCAAGTTTATTTAGAAATGACCGTAACTGATTTAAAGACATATTTGGACCGACTGCAATATTTTCTTTTGAGCAGAATTGTTGTACTAACTCATCTACATCACCTAAATATTTTATTAAAGAAAGAAAACTTGAATAAAGTCATAAATCATTTTTATACAATATTAAAATTACCCAAACAATAGAAAACTGTGTTAAGGAATCCTTTTCATCACATAATGGATATGACAATTGTTTGATGCGTTTGAAATCACAATATTTCCAAGTCAATGTATATATGTCAGTGTTAAACTTGTAGTGAACAAATGTCACGCATTGGAAAATTCCAAATCCTGACCACAATGCTTGTATGCATTGGTCAAATGTCCTTCACGTTTAACAAAGACAATAAATAAATAATAAAAAAAACATAGGAAAAACATTGAATAGATTTAATGTTCATTTACAAACATGGTGATCAAATAACATCACATACATGCTACAACTAATTTTATTTAATGTGTTTATAGGGATTGATATTATATGAACTAACAATAATACCAAGAATCTCCCACAGCTAATTGTTCCTTCTGACTTCGGCATCTTTAAAACACAGTTTATTTCATCACTTGGATTTATTCACTTACAGTGTTCCTCGTAATGATTATTAATTAAAGAAATCATTATGTAGAATAAATGTCATAGAATTAATAGAAAAAATCAGATAGAACAAAAATCACATTCAATCAATGTTTGATTTCCCATTAATAAATCATATTTAAAGAGTTAACATCCATAACAGGGGTGTTTCTCTTTTTTTCAGTGTATTTTCTTAAAAGGTTAGGTTAACACGAGGAATAGTTCCTGAAAACCATTTATGATAGTTTTAATCAATTGTATCAACTATTACGTAATCTCATAATTTCTTTAGAAATATATGCATAGGAAATGTAAACAGCTCAACCTGAAGAGAAATTTAACTAAGTCATTCGAATTTAATCAACTAAATATTTTAGACTTATGAACTTGTAAGACAGATGTCATTTATCACTAACGAACAAAATAAGCCAAGTTCATTGTTCAATTCTTTCCTCACGTACCTTTGACTTTTGAATAAGCAATTTCTTTAGCTTCTATTAATTGCTGCAGTTCTTCGATTGCCACTAAAAAAACATATACATACATATTAAGCATGATAATACTTTCCATAAGACAGTGAGTATCAACTTCGTTCCTAGCATATATGTGGATTGGCCCAAGTTGCTGTAACACATTAATACGAATAGATGAATATTGAAAGAATCAAAATAATATAAAAGTATCATTAATGAGGAAGACTAAATATTGAGAATATGTTTCGGAAAGACAGTACAAAAGTATGAGTAAAGGAAAACTAGAATTCAAAATCTAGAGGACAATAAAGAGTAAATCCATTTGTACCATTGTGACCGATTCTCAGTCATCTTATTTAAATTCTCCAACCATTTGGCTTAGATCAAAAGTCGATGATTTCGTGGACTGATGGCACGTTTTGGTCTGAGTACCCCTAGCTTTTTTTTCAACTTGTCCCCAAATCTCTTGGTAGGGCCGAGGGTGGGGAGAGGAAACTCTCCCTCTTCAAATTCTCTTACATGGTCACGTGCATACAACCACTGCCAGGGAAGTCCTACTCACTGCCTTCTCGTGGCGGGGGTTTTGTTTACGAATTGAGAGGACGAAAAGCGAATGTCCGGCACTTTAACCGGGTTGGTGGATACGGAGGATCCCATGGTAACTATACACTTGTAGTCTTATTTTAACAATACTGGTAAGCCACCGTGAATGTTATAGGCGGAACATTCAGAGCCTTCCTTATATTCCTGATCAGAACTGTACCGAGGCATGTGACTGCCGTTATATCCAAAATGAATTTCAGTTATATGATTAAAGGAAGACATTTCACCCTGCGAACAAGCTTTCATTGTTGTAAAGTGGTTAGAGAAGGTCAACAAGAGACCCTGAACCAAGGTTCCACGTTAGCTGACACTCGTTAGTAAGCCATATCTATAAACTCGGGAAAAGTGGTGGCCTTAATAGGGTTTGGACCAGAAACTTGATCGATAAATTCCGGACAGCTGTGAGGAGTGGAGATATACTAAACTAGTTGTCAGTCAATTATTAATCAAGTTTGGAAGGTGGTTTTTGAGAATTCTATATTGCAGAGTATATAATATTGAAGCCGTTAATAATAATAATGAAAACTATTAATTTAACCCCATGTGAAAAACACTAACATTACATAATTTCTTTGACAATAATAACTTTTATATTTTATTTAAGTTTAATGAAGACTGCAATACATGATAAATATACCACCACTATTTGTCCACTTTTTTAAGCATGAGGATAGACCTAGAAAACGTGGTTACGTTCCAGGCAAGTAATTCGTTAGATCAACTAGTAATAACGAACGGAATACGTTGGAAATGAGAAAATACACCGCTAAGATAAGGGTATGGTTACAGAAAGCATCGTCTACCTTCTTTTTTGTGCAACTCTGTCATCAACTTTGACCGTTCACATTCCCAATCAGCAGTGATGGAGTTTAAACGAGATTCAAAACTGGAACGGACATTTTCAAGTTCTTTGGCGGAATTGCTCATTTCTTTTTCAAGCATTTCAAAGACAGCAGTTTGGTCGAGGAGAACAGTAGAACTTGACTGTTTTACAGGTATTTGAGACATGACTAATAGTTCATTATACTTCACGTTCAGCTCATTATATTGGTCTATAAATTCACTTAGGCTTTTGTTTAGAGAAGATGTACTCAATTCCCGTATACAAGCAAACAATCCACTTTGTAAACCTCTAGCCAATGTACTTAGCAGATGATAGAAATCTTGCTCTGTTTCGACGGAGCCCAAGCACGAGTTTTCGGACAATGTTACTTTGGAAAGTTCTGAAAGTTCGCTAACAACTGAAAATGCGGTCCTTAACTGTTCACTGTATGATGAAAAAGCACTGGAGGTATCGGATAAAAGGCTTTTGATATTTTTGAGATCATAAAAAATAGTCCCACATGAAGTTATTTCATTCTTTTCCTCGTAACAATACATTTTACATGGGGATGAACTAATTTCATCAATATCCTTCAAATCACCTACGTTTTGAAAATCACAAGCTCTTAGAACACGACCAAGACGAACGATATCTTTCTTCAGATCACTTATATCAGAAACCGTTGAACCAAACATCACACATGGATCCTCTTCCATGAGTCTTTGAGAAATAAGAGAGATTAGAAGAGACAAACTAAATAGCATGCATATTTATCATGAACGTCAAAATGATAAGAGAGAAGAGGGGAATAAAAAGATAAATATTTGTGAATAGTATTTGAGAAACCAATTGATCGAGTAAATAGTAGCGAAGTTAATTGTCAGTGGAACAGTGATGAAAAGACTTGATTGTGAACAAGGTTGCTTGGGATGCTGTTAGAGGTATAAGAGTGGCTGTCACTCAGTTTCCTACACCGTAGAAGGGGACATGAAAATGAAACTGTTTGTGGTGGCCTTAATGATATGGGATCAGGAACACAGATCCAAAGGACATTCATAGGGATCAATTTTCAATCTGTTCCTTCAGTCATCAGAAAGCAGTATCACTATGGTTACTGGTTTCTCGGAAGAAATACTTTAATACCATCATACCCCTATACAGATGGAATATCGACTGCGACCCTGGACTTATAAATTCTGCCCTTAATCTCGGCGTTTTTCAACCGATTTCTGGCACAATAAACCAAAACAAATGAGTGATTCGGCCAATATAGCTTGGTTGCTCCATCACAATGGTTAAATCAACCACTACACCAAGGTACCAGATGCAGTCGAGAAAATATCGAACAAATCAGTACTCTTCAGAAATATTGATGTGGCTGCAACCTGACTGAAATATATGTAACCAGGTACGTGAGATGCCAAGAGTTGTGCTAAGTGAATCTGTTTGGAGTAAAATTTCACAATTGGTAAATGACACAAGCACCAGGTTACTACCAATTGGTATTTGACTTATTTACAAGATTTAACGGAACAAAGCTGGTTACATTAAGATACCATTAGGATGTGACAACTAACGCTCTCCGTGAGCATCTATTACCTTAGGACGTACACCACTAAAGAAAGAAGGGCAACCCTAAAAACAATTTAACATGCTACGCATTACTACTGGAAGAGAACTTCTTTTAAGGATAAGATACTCAATAGGAACAGCTTTAAAAAAACGACAAAATTGAGGTCTTTACAGTTCTACATTTATCAACATCAGAGCACTATTTTCGATAGAAATCTCAGTTAACATCACGAGAAAAATATTATGGGACAATTTACACATTATAGGAATGCAGTTCATAACTACTAAAACAGATGTTAGGGACCGTATTTGAAATATATACTGGAAGTATATAAACAACAATGGTTTCTGGTGAATACATTTTAACTGAGATAATTTAGGAAAGCAATGCTAAACAGCCGCTTGGACACCGGTAATGGAGGAGGGAAAAAAGACATTTATAGTAAGCTTTACTAACTGAGAAGACTTAACGACCATTAGATGTTCAGAACGCTGAAGAAGGAGTACCGTTCTACTTTCCCACGTAGCGAGATTTATAAAGTGAATAAGTGAAACCGAACACAACAGAAATACGATTCCTAGACAAGGATTATTTCTATTTAAAACCAACGAACACCAAACCTTACATCCAACCAACACGTGCATTCAAATTCGTAAAGCGAGCTTAAGTTACAAATGGTTCAAATGGTTCAAATGGTTGTGGACGGAATAGAAGAAGCTTTCGCTTAACAGGCTTCCGTGTCTAGTAGCAGGGGATCACCAATACCTCCAGGCAAGAGCCTAGGTATATCAACGATAAAAGAGAAAAAAATGAATTGGTAAATCATGGTAAGATACTATCCTTAGTCCTTAAGAATAGATCAAGTCGCCTCTTAAAGGACTCCTGGGAAGTTGCTTGGACTAGCTCAGCTGGCAGCGAATTTCAGCATTTGACAACTCTTAAGGAGTAGAAGTTGTGTCTGCAGTCCGTTCTACTATGTTGTATCTCTAATTTCTGGGTGTTACCCCTTAGGTTAGTGTTTGGACTAAGCTTAAGTAGGTGTTTAAGAGGATGTCCAGAAGTGTTAAGGATACTGTAAGCCATTAGGTCACCTCTTAGACGCCTATACTCTAATGGGTAAAGGTCGAGTGATTGTAGGTGCTCATCGTAAGGTTTAAATTTGAGTCCCCAAACTGATTTCGTGGCTCGCCGTTGGATACGCTCCAGAGTGTCCTTATCCTTTTGGAGTGTAGGATGGAATACTATGTTTCCGTACTCTAAATGGGGACGAATGAAACTGTTGAAGATTATGTGAAAAGTTCTCCCGTCAAACTGACCAAAAATGCGCTTCAATGTTACCAGTGCCAGGTTTGCTCGAAAGGCATTTCTGTCACAGTTGGCGTAAGACTTTAAGTCGTAGGGCACCAGAACTCCTAAATCTTTTTCGACTCGGAATACTACTAGAGAGGAATTTCCTAAGATGTAACTGTAATCTGCGACGTGTCGCAGATGGACTACTTTACACTTTGAGAGATTATATATACATTACAGCGTGTATAGCCCCAAAAAGCTGAATTTTAGAGCTTAGAATTTGTGCAGAACAGAAGAAATCACTAAGATGTTATTTTGATGTAGCATATTTACCATATACCCATTAAACCTAGCATATCACCAATTAATTTCGTTAATAAATCACACGTAAGATAGCAGTGATAAGGACCAATTGTAATAACTCAGTCTTTAATTAAAACAACAAGAGAACCGCAGTGACTTCCATGTCAGCCTGCTTTAAATGAGTATACTGGTTCAAATCAGTCTGCTTGCAAATAGATAAAAAGTACCTTAGATGTACTATAAGATTGTATCCATTCTGATAAAACGTTCTAAGTATGTTCGATGTTTATTTGTAGACTGTATGTCTATCTCTGACCACGTTTCAAGATCACTGCCACTAAACAATTTCCATAGCGTTAACACTGATCGTTGGATAACTAAGTATATGTGTTTATTACTTTCCTGAAAAACAGCTGTATACAATCCTGGATGAGGAGTGTTCTGTGTCTTAACTAAATGCAGCTGGCTGTGGACAAACATTTAAAATGTTTTTGACAACTGGAAATTTTAGATTATCAGACACTAACTCTACAGGTACATCTTCCCGTAAAACCAGACGCAGATGCATTAGAATACTTAAATGGGAATAAAATAATAAAACCTGTACAATACGGTACTAAGAGCATACTATGCTTTGCAAAGGTTGTAGTAGCTGACATGATCTTCATCTAATACTTATGAACTTAAGGTAAGTCACAGTTGCGTAAATTCTTTGCCTAAAAAGAAGTTATTTATTTATTTACGCATTCCATATTTTTGACAAAAAGCCATTACTATTTTTCATTTAGAGTGCAACAGGACTGAGCTCTTACGGATATTATAAACTGTCTCTCTTTAGAACTACTAAGGAAGACTTGACTAACAGCGCCTTCTCCAAAGCTTATTGAAAGCATGTTTGTGAAGCATGAACCTCTCAGCACCTAGTTCGTATGCAATAAGTTTAAGTGATACAGTACACACCCTCGTTATTTTCTTGGAGAACCTAACAAACCTTCTGCAATAGATAAATGACATCTCTGACTTGTCCCCATGTTGTCAACTGCCCGGGTTTCATAATCCTTCCGAAAACACCACTGGTATTTGCTACTACTGGACACTGAGAGATAGTTTGACTCATTGGTGGAACAGTGTTATCCATAATACTGAAAAACAACTGAAGATCGCTTTCTTTCATTGCTCTCGAAAACATCATAAATGACAAATAGGGACAAACATGAGCACAGTTAGAGACTTTCAGGCTGCAGAAACATTCGTTTTAACTAGAAAACTAACTCTGGTTTCCGGTGTCTAAAAAATAATGCTCAAAATAAAACGGATTAACATTTTACCACATAAAACAAGCAAACTTGTCTGAAGTAATACACTGACTTGTGTGGTAGTAGCAAAGACCAAAGAACATAACAGAATCGGAAGAATGCGTACCAACAAATGAAACATTGCATGAATAGTGAAATTTCAGCCCATTAAAACATTAAATTACACTGCTACACTAAAAACAGTTGAAAAATACACAGAACGAGACGAGTTGACCGCCAGTGCTTACAAAGATGGGGAAATGACAATTCCCGCTTCATTCCATTCGGCCGCTTAGCAGACTGTCCCACTTACTAAACAGAGTTGAGTTTAATTGCAGCCTTATTACGGCATAAATTGTAGTGATTTTGTTGGTTTGTGTGCAACACCTGTTTCAATGAGCTTTAGCAGTCTCGTTGTAGTCACTGGTATGCTTTTTATGTATGGTAGGATGGTCAGTTTATTAATTTCTGTGCCTGTTTTATTTCTGATGATGCGTGCGGCTGGTATTTTTTATGTCGATTGGGTGGCCGTTCTTTTGAAGGATGGTCTTTAGATATTTTTTTCTAGAGATTAATATATCCAAGAATGATAGTTTGTCGTTTGACTCCTGTTCCATTGTGAACTTGATGTCGTCGAAGATGTTGTTGATCAGCTTATAGGTGCTTTCCCACTCGTCCTCTTTGACGATGACGAATGTGTCGTCTACATAACGAACCCGAATATTTGGTTTGATCACTAATACAATCGAGGCTTCTAGTCTATGCACCACTGCTTGTGCGATAAATAGTGATACTGTTGATTCCATTGGTGTCCCTTTCGTTGGTTCTTTTCACCTTCGCCTGCACGAACATCAAGTGCCATGACATATCTCCACTTATATTAATGCACGTGGACAACTAGTATCAATCAACATTAAAGTCTACATGACAAGCTGTGAATCACACGTGAAGAAATTCGAACACTTCACTACAACCTGTCGTTTGTGCTGATGATGTCGTTGAGAGGAACGATGAAAGCTTCACGACCAAACCATCCAGCTCAGAGGACAAAACTCCATCAATATAGACCCAATCCTAGAATTCTTGATATTTGATGATGTGACTACCTAACCTATAAGTCACATAACTGTTTTTTCGGACGCGACATATCTCGACAATCCGAGATATGATGTTCGACGTTTGTGAAAAACACATTCAAGTTAAAGATAGAATAATACTTTCAATGTGAATAGACATAAGTTGTACAGAACGACCACCTTTACGAGTCTGAACCATGCCATCCGATTGAATTGAATGAATGTTCTCGAGTTCACGATTGTTGGCCTTTTCTCTGTTTGAAATTTCGAATATCATCCACTTAAAGACAAAAAGTTACATATAGATGTAGCTTACATCGATTTCAGCAAAATTTTTTACAATGTTCGTCACCATGACCTAGAAATCATTGTTAGCACAGAATTAAAATCAACTTCACACTACCGTTTGACAACCGCTAAGGGCTTTTGAACGTTATGGTCGATACATAGAGTCGCTAGGCATGTCGACGCTAGAGCCTTTTTGGCTTTTTATATGGTATTCGTTCGTCCTAACTCGAGTATTGAATATAAGCGGCTAATCTCTACCTAAACGAAGATAGTGAACAGTCGGAAAAGGTCCAAAGAACTGTAGTGGCATTGGGCCCTACCACTAGACGATATGGGTAATAGACATTCAACATTTAACGCGGAGAAATACCTAACGATGGAAAAGATGGGAACAATGAATTGAATAAATTGGAGTTGGCCGGATGGCATGGCTCGGCCATGCAGGCGCGGTCCCTACTGAATATTACCTTATATTTTTTATTTATATTAAATATATTGTTCGATCTCTAGACTAAGCTTGTTCTCTTTCGTCTTAGTATTTGTCACGATGCAGTGAGTTAGTGTAGACGATGATGCGACTTCCACGTAAGATCTTATAGATTGGGCAGTTATATCATAACAGAACTATCTCCGCAGGCCTATTATTAGAGCAGTACTAATATCGTAGTAGACCAAACTTCTACAGAACCACAATTAAGGCGATTTTGTAACAGTAATGTCTCACTATAAACTAGTCAGTCTTCACTAGTAGGGACAAGAGGTCATTTGACCTTGGAGATGCCACAGGTATTCGGAGTTTGAAAACGCTTTAACCAGTAACACCTTCTAATATGAAACGTACCCACCAGGTGAAATCGAAAAACAGAAGCGAGGAGATCGAAGATATATTTGATAAGCTATGAATATATCGAGGATAGTTTGAACTAATCTAACTAGCAATTACGGCAGATGTTGAGCACGGCGTTCCCACACGTGATCTGGTGCGGATGCTTGGCCAAGAGCCTTCAGGTAGATGAGTCCACTAAAACTGTGGTCAGCATCCAATGTCGAAAACTTACTGAGCTATTTAATTTTGGGGGGTTATTTACCGCTACAACCTATACTAGTTCTTGAATTCTGACGTACTGTGAAGATCCAACCTTACTTTAAATATGTTAACGGATAGTGCTGATATTACGCATTCCAGTGAAGAATTCCGGAAAGTTACTACTCAATTTAAAAATAGGAAGTTCAGATGTTAACTAGTTGTTATTAGTTTCTGAACTTTATTAGAATATCTTCTCGGATGATCAGTTCCAGATGGAAGAAAAACATAAGGCATTATAAGACCAAGACCATTGTTCAGTAATCGGTAAGACGGCATTAGATAACCTTGTCAAACACAAAAGCACTTTCCTTAAACCATGTTGTTGCCTAGCTAACAAACAAT